AAAAAACACTTTTATGTTTCCAATTAAAAAATATTATTATTTAAATAGTAAAAAACAAGTTTTTCATTATATGCTAATTGAATTATAGTTATATGTTTTTATTTTATTTATACCTGTATTTTGTACTGTAATTAAAAAAATTTAAAAATCAGATATAATACGAAAAACAACTGATTTATTGAACATTAAAAACAAATTAATAATAAATAAAAAAAATATATTTTTTTTAATAATTATTAACTAACTAACTAAAATATACTGTAACTAAATTATTGTATTATTATTAATAAGTTGATAATTTTTAGCTTAATTTTTTTAGCCTTAAAAATGATGATAATAATGATAACATGTCTAACCATATAATAATTTAATGTTTATATTAATGTTTTATTATAATACAGCAAATATTTATACAATGAGATCTAAATTTAGCAACAATAACAAAATAATATAATAATTTTTCATTAACATTAATGTACAATAAATTATCATTTATTTTCCCCACATATTAATTATAGTATATATATATATATATCTATATATGATATTTAATGTTAATATATAACTGTTTTTTTTGCAATACCTGTAATATTAACTATTGCTACCCATTATTATAGATGATATATACTGTACTGTATTTGCAATTTGAAACATATATTATAAAAATATATTTTAATGTAATGATAATTTTGTTGTTGTTATTATAAATTAAAATTTTATTTTCTCTGTAAGTAAACTCGTAATTTTTATAAATAATTGAAATATAATTAAATATATATATAGAAAATATAACAATTAAGTCAATCATATGACGTTTAATAAGAAAAAAATTAATAAATAATAAAAATTTAGTCAAATATTTAATCAACAATAACAACAAATTAAAYTATTTTTATAACAAAAAAATCAATCAAACAAACTTGTAATTAATTGTTTAAAAATTAATTAATTAACCCAGCAATTTTTTTWAAAAATWAATATTTATTTATTTTTGAGCTTTAGATTGAAATCAATAATTTTTATTTAAATTTTTTTTAATTGAGACCAATTTTTATGGACTGACTAAAAAACAACAACAACAAAATCTGTAATTTTTTTTAATTATAAAACAAAAATACAAAATAAATAAATAAAATTTTTGTTTATTCATCAAAAAAAAAAATCATAGACACAAATTGCTAGTCATTAATCAATTGGGAGACGACTTTACAGTATATATATAAATAAATAATTAAACTTTTTTTTCTTATAGAAAATAAGTTATTTATTTATTAAAAAAAAGTTATTTTTAAAATTTGTATCATATCTTATATATTTACATTATATACAGTACTATGAATTTTTCGAGAGAGAGAGAGAGAGAGAGAGACTTAAGCTATATATATATATATATATATATATATATATAAAGAGAGGGGAGAGGGGATATAAATAGGGAACTCCTACTATACTAATGGTTGTGATATTATTATATAAAATATTCATATAAGTGGTGACTATTGCTTATGGTATGTGACATTTGGTGAAAAAATAAATTTTTATATTACTATATTATTGTGTGGACATACATACAATCTGTCCTTTCCTCTCACTCACGCACAGGTATGCAATGGTATGCAATGGTATGCAATGCTTATTATATTATACTATACAYAGTGCATATTGACAACACCACCATTGAATACCATCCCTACCCCATCCCATATGGCATATGTCGGGATAGAGAGAGAGAGAGAGAGAGAGAGAGAGAGAGAGAGAGAGAGAGAGAGAGAGAGAAATAAACATACCATTAGAGAGAGAGAGAGAGACACTRTTTTTTAACTAAATACCATTAAATACTAACCAAAAAATATGTGTTTGCATCTCATTGACGACTGACTGTCATATTAATGTAAAATGTAATTTTCAAAATGTATATAAACTTATATAAAGTAAACACACATTTTTTGGATAATAATTTTTTTTTGCTATCTCTCTCTCTCTCTCTCTCTCTCTCTCTCTCCTAAATAACCATTAAGTTTTTGCAGACAAAATTATTTTTATTTATTSACATTTTAAAATATATATTTTGCCAAAAATTTTGTGTATGTATGTGTGTGTGTGTGTGTGTGTGTGTGGTTGTGAAGATAATATCTAACATATGCAACACACACACACACCAAACAGTAAGGTTATGTCTATCACACATATATTTATAAAATTTTTAAAATATATTTAAAGTACAGCACATGTACTGTATCTGTAATGTTTGTGTGTGTGTTTTAATAGTAATAAAATAACAACATTTTTTTAATTTAAAAAATTTATAAAATTGTTTATTTTTATTTAATAGAGGAAACACTCAGTCAGTACTGTACTTTTGGGGTAATACCTGTACACCTGAGGACACCATTTAAAACCAAAAAAATATATAAAAATAAAAAGTTTATATCTTTGAGATAGAGAGAGAAAAATGCTTATCAAATAATAGCATATATATTACTAAATACAGTATTCAATATATATATATATTAGTATATATATACAGTATATATATATTCAATTTGGAGATACATTACGCGGAAAAATAACAACAAAATCATGTTTTATTCATTTTAATGGTTTATTATTATTTTATTTTTGTGAGAGTCATCTTATTTTGAAAAATAATCATGTTTTTCAAAATAAAATAACTAAAAAATATAATATTTTTATCATTATATTATTTATAATATATATATTTTATAGTCTTTAATACATTTTAAAATAGTATAATAACAGCTAATATTCCTAATATTATATGTTTTTATAGATATACTAAATATATATATATATATACAGTATATATATTAATCTATTTTACTATTATCATCATTTTATTATTATTATTATTATTATTATTATATATATATATATATATATATATATATATATATTGATGATATTGTCGGTAAAATAACATCATTTATAATGATTATATTGTTTTTATTGTTCATTCAAATGGCTTGTATATAATTCAAGTGATTTTAATTAATAAAAATAATATTTTTTGTATTTATACTTTATATATATACTGTAATATACCTGTATATAATGTTTTTTCTCATTTATTTTTCTATTGGAAATATGGAAATAAATTTAATTGTTTAAAAAAATAAAATAAAATAATAATAAAAAAAATCTCATTTTGAACTTCTGGTTTATTATATATCATATATATATATATATATTATTTCCTATATTTATTGTTAAATACAGTAAAAATAATCAATTGAAATATTTGCTATCATTTAATAATTGTTAATAACAACAAAAAAATAATAATAACAAAATAATTAAATAGTTTTATATTTTCCGTAATGATATCATGTTTTGATACCCAAAAATTGTGTACTCTTTACAAAATGCTATCATTAAAAAATATTTTGTATTTTAAAAAAAAAGTTATATTTAAAATAATAATAATATAATAATTAGTGATTTAATATTTGGTTTAACCGATTATATGTTAGTTAAATGGCTTTTTCGGGGAAAAAACGTTATTATTTTTRTTTGTATTTTTTTTTTTGAACATTTATTGATATATAATAAGCTTTTCTTCAATAACAACAAAAAACAAAAACAAACAAAATAATACTAAATAATGATAAATAAAATTAAAAAATAAAAGATTGTTTCAAAAGATAAAATCGGGAAAATCTCTCATAAAATACAACTATATATTAAATAATAATAAATACTTGTATTATATTTATATATATATATATATAAAACATTAGATTTACAGCAATAGTTAGGGGGAAAACAAAAACAATAAGTTTTATGACAAAAATTATTATTAATTTTGTTGTTGTTATTTATTCACAAACTASATTGTATTATTATTATTATTATTATTTATATATATATATATATTTTTTTTAAATAAAAATAAATTTGTTGCTTGTTGATTTCCCATAGAAACTATAAAAAAAAATACAAACTGGCTCTAATGTTCATACAAATTATTTTATAACAACTTTAATAATCACATACACATACACACACATAGTCGCTAAAAACTATTTCCAAAAAAAAATTATTTTTTTTGATTTTTTTGTTATTTTTTTTATAAAAAATAATAATAATATGAAAACAATTTTTTCTCTCTCATATAAACTATGTATTCAAATACATACAGTATATACTGTGTATATAACGGTTATATATAGGAAGTGATGCGCCCATTGATAGATGAATTACCGCATCATTTAGTGGATTCATTAATACAGTACATAATAATAATAATAATAATAATAATATGTATATTCCTGTAGATAGTCATACAGATTGACAACAATATATATATATATATATATATATGTATTGATAATAACCAACAACACCACTAACAACAACCTAACCAACCCWTACATATATAGAGACACCCGAGACAAGTGCTTAGGGATTTTTTTGTGTGTGTTGGCACTTAAATAATCATTTGTAAAACAATTTGCACCAAAAAAAAAATTATTAGTTATTTTTTTTGTTGAAAAAAATAACAACAAAAATAATTTTCATATAAAATTTCATTTTGAATAGTAGTATACTAAACATTTTCAAATACAAACCAACAAACATAGCAAATAAATAAATTTTAAAAAATACTTAAAAAAATGATATAAAATAAAAAACATAAGTTTCTGAGAGAGAGAGAAAAAAAAATAAATAAAAACTAATAAAAAACATATGAGAGACACAAACATATGCCAAAAGTTTATTGTATGTTTAAATATATAATGTTAATTAAATGTCAAATAATGTTTTATGGTGTGTATGTRTGTGTGTGTGGTGTGTGTGTGTGTGTGTGTGTGTGTGTGTGTGTGTGTGTGTGTGTGTGTGTGTGTGTGTGTGTGTGTGTGTGTGTGTGTGTGTGTGTGTGTGTGTTATAGTATATACATGTATATATATAAAGACAACATCAAATAATAATAAAAACATAAATATATTGTATATTAAATATCTAGTATATGTTCACATACCTGTCCCGCTGTATCGCATAATTGTAGCTGACATGGCTTGTTATCTATGGTAACCACCACTGGGGACAGTTAGGTTAGGGGTTTTGGATGAGATAGAGATTGGAGATATCCATCACAAAGAAAATAAAATAAAAATCACATGAGATGTCACATAAAGGTAGTAGAGATGAGAGATGAGATTGACGTTACATTTATATATAATGTGATGAAACAAACAAAAAAACAAACAAAAAATTAGATAAAAATATTATTATTATTATTGTTTTTAATATACAAGTTTTTTAATATCATAAAAAGTTTTTTTTAAACATATAATAATTTARTTACAATGTGTGTGTGTGTGTGTGTGTGTGTAATGTAATCCTTACAAAAATTAATTTGATTTTTATTAGCTTAGAATTTTTGTTTTTTTTTGTATAATAAAAAAATAATAATAAAATATCTAAATTTGTATCAAATTGAGTAATAAAAAATATAATATGGATATATAAACTATTATTATAATAGTAATAATAATAATAATATTCTTGATAATAATAATATTATTATTATCAACATTTAGTTTTAATGTTTTTAATAGATCCTAATTACAGTAATAATAGTAATAATAATAATAATAATATTTTTTTTGTTAATTTTGTTTCTAACCTTCAATTAAAAATTATAATCCCTTTTATTTTATTTATTAACAAAAAAAACTCAAATTTTTCCGTTCAATGCTTTTCTTATGGTTTTAATTGACAATTTAAAAAAATAATAATTAAATTTCATTTAATAATAAATCTAATAATAATAATAAAAATAATTAGAAAACAAATACGACTGATTTATACAATTTTTTTTTTATAAAAAAAATATTTGATATTTTAATTAAAATAAAAGTGATTATTTTTATAGATCCATCACATTATATAATTTGCATAAATTTATTAGTTTATTATTATATATATATTATAAGTAAGCAATTTTATAATAATAATAATAATAATAATAATAAGTTTTTCTTAGTGTTTATTTTTGAACACATTTGATGAATAATTCATTAAAACAAATAAATAAGAAGGCGGTCAATCGATCTTGAGCGGCGTATTTTTTGAATAACTTTTAAACAGTTAGAGATAATTTATTTCTGTAAAATACATTTAAGAATATCATATCGACCACACTTAATATATACGAAATCACAAAACTAGGATGACCAGATATACAAAATATCGGGACCAACGCAAGACACTATGCTACAGGTCAAACTACAACAGACTAATTTATTATGACAATGTAAATTTGTAGTCAAGAAATAATAGTTTAATATAAAAAAGAATCATCAAAATCGGATTGGTACTTTTATTTTTATACCTTGTTCAATTTGTCATAAATCACATTGTATAAAATTGTCTAAAATAAAATTGACCTTATTTATGACTATTATATATTTAGAAGATTAAATTTTCAATTATATTATTATTTCTAAAAACAAAATTTTATTATGTCGACTATCGAAATAATACTTTCAATATAAATCACACTATTGTAATTTGATATTATAATTTATATTGAGTCGATTATTTCGAAAACTAGTCGACATATTAAAATTTTATTTTTAGATTTAGTGATTACATGAAAATCTTCATTTAATAAGTATATAATATTTACAAATAACGTCAATTTTATTTTAGACAATTTTATACAATGTGATTTATGACAAATTTAACAAGGTATAAAAATAAAATACCAATCCGATTTTGATGATTCTTTTTTTATATTAAACTGACTACAAATTTACATTGTCATAAAAAATTAGTCTGTTGTAGTTTGACCTGTAGCATAGTGTCTTACGTTTGTCCCGATATTTTGTATATCTGGTCATCCTAGTTTTGTGATTTCGTGTATATTAAGTGTGGTCGATATGATATTCTTAAATGTATTTTACAGAATTAAATTATCTCTAACCGTTTAAAAGTTATTCAAAAAATACGCCGCTCAAGATCGATTGACCGCCTTCTTATATGTATAAAGAAAAAAAGTATTTTTAAGTTTAAAAAATGTAAATTTTTATTAGTATAATCCCCTAACAGTAATAATAATAATACTAATACTAATAATAATTTTTTTTATCCTTTAATTTTATTTTCATTGGCTATCATACCATTGATATACATATACTGTAAATACAGTATAACTGATATAAATACTGACTTTTTTACGCTGAATAGTAAAATAAATTTTGTTTTCTTAGAGAGAGAGAGAAAAAAAGTGCTTTTTTAATGTTTGAATTTGTTTTTTTAAACTTTATATATATTTGAACGAAAAAATTATTTTTTTTAAACTACTTTCTTTTAGTATAAGACTTTTTTTCTGAAATTACATTTTGAAAACTTTATTTTTTTTAAATGTTATATTTTATGTTTTTGTATGTTATGTTTGTTTGTTGATTACCTGAGTAGTTGTCAAAAGCTGTGGGCACGTACTCAGCGGGATATCCATTGGTAGTATAGCTGACAATGAGAGAGGTCTTGCCAATAGCCCCGTCCCCAACCAATACACATTTGACTCGGCTTATGGGGGCAATGGTGGTGGTGTCGGTGTTGTTGTCGGGATCGGTAGTTGTATTATTATCGCACGATTCGCAACATTTTTCTCTAGTATTATCCGGTAATAGATTACATGAAGTCGAGTCCCGAAATAATGGCGGCATTTTGTAAAACATTTATCTAATTTATTATTATTATTATTATTTTTATTAATAATAATTATTATTAAAATTTATTATTAGTAGTATTAATAGTAGTAATGTTGTTGTTATAATAGGTAATAATAAAATTAAATGTTGTTTTTTGTTGATATATTTATATATATATATATATTTGTCGTCTCTCTTTCTCTTTCTTATCAATTGATGTTTATATAACACTTGACATAAATATTTTGTTGGATAATAATAATAATAATATTCATATGAAATAAAAATAATAGTAAATAACTAATGATTTAGTGATTTACATACTTTACACATACATATATATATATTTTTAAACGACAGTATATTTCAAGTAAAAATCAGACATAAATCGCTTGTTGTAAGCCATCCCTCCCATCAAATAGTTTTCAAAATAAATATAAAAAACAACAAATTATTATCAAAAAAAAAACTTTTGCAACTTTTATCTCTCTCTTTAAAAAAAACAGTTTCTCTTCAATCAGTTTTCTCCACAAAAAATATTTTTTGAACTAATAATAACTTTTATAACATTTTATATTTTTAAGGCTTAAAATAACTTTTTTTTTTCTCTCTCTTTCTCTATTCAACAAATTATATACACTTTTTGTTGAATAGATATCAATCAGTTTTATCTCTTTTTTCCTCTCTTTCACTAATCTCTTATGTTTTTGTTGTTGTTGTTGTCTATTATTAAAACAACACTTTCATTGAKGAGAGCCAACAGTTTTTATATATATATATATATATATAGTATATTATTATTATATAACAAATATTTTATTAAATATACTGTAGATATAAATATTTGTTGTCAACAACAACAACAAAACTAAATATAAGCTTCAAATTTGCATAAAATTCAATTTATTTTTATCACAATTTTGTTTTATATTATCTAATTTTTTCTATCTCTCTCTCTTTTTGTGTGTGAATCTGATATATTGTGTGACAAATTGATTGAATGATTGATTGATTGATTGATTTCATGAACTATTTGAATGAAGTAATAGTTGTTATCATATATGATATATATCTGATGATACAAATAAAAATATATATATATGATATTATTTGACTATTTATTTTCACTGATGATGATTGCAGACAAACTTTAAACACAAAAATTTTGTTGTTATGTAATAATTTTAAAATAGTATCAGTTATACTGTATCACACATTATATACATACATATATATATGATATGCAATTTATTGCATAAATTTCTAACTAATTTTATATATATCAAAAAAAAAACAAAACAAAAAAATATTTGTTGAAGTGTTGATAGATATCGAGAAATATATTTATATATTCACAGAAAAAAAAACTTTTTTTTTGCTAAAATCATATGAAATAATAATAATACCAATAAAAAAATCAAAACATGTTTTCAATATTCACATAACTTTTAACATAACGATAATCATATGAAATGAAAGCAAACTTTTTTTAAGCACTGGTAGGTAAAACTTTCATCCAAAAGTTTTTAGGTAAAGTAAGATTTTTTTCAATGTATGTGCTTATGAATAGTAGTAGTAGTAGTAGTAGTAATAGAGAGAGAGAGAGGGAGAGCACAACTATAGACACAACCTTTCAGTACAACAACTGAATGGCAAACTGGTAGTCAAACAGTCGTTCCCTTACAGTTCACTCTCTGGATGAACAGGCAGTCTGTTTGTTGCTAACTGTGTGTAAATGTATATGAAATTAAAATGTGTGGAAACAACACTACCAGCGCATTCACACTGAAAGTTGGGGAACTATACCTTAAAAACTATCCACGGGTTGAGTCTATTCTCTCTTTCTCTCTCTCTTTCTTTCTCTCTTTCTTTCTTACATAGAGTTAAGAAAATATCACGATTTTCTCTCTCTCTCTCTCAAAATCATTATACATTGTCAGTACAGTAYATACCGGGGCGGACCTGTGTGTCGGTGCTCTTTCACTAACGTCACCATTAATATACCCATTGATGTGTGTGTGTGTGTGTGTGTGTGTATGTATGTATGTATGTATGTGTGTGTGTGTGTATGTATGTATGTGTGTGTGATACATACATACATACATACATACATACATACATACATACACACATACATACATACATACATACATACATACACACACACACACACACACACACACACACACACACACACACACACACACATACATACATACATACATACATACATACATACACACACACACACACACACACACACACACACACACACACACACACATACATACATACATACATACATACATACATACATACATACATACATACATACATACATACATACATACATACATACATACATACATACATACATACATACATACATGTGTGTGTGTATGTATGTATGTGTGTGTATGTGTGTGTGTGTGTGTGTGTTGTATGTGTGTGTGTCTATAGAAATAAAAAGTTTAATATTGTATTTTTTTATTTATCTTGTAATATGATGATGATGATGATCAGCATAAAATAATAATAATAAGCTTATTATTATTTGTTATTGGGAAAAAAATTTTATCTAGATAAAATAAAGACAAATTATAGTTGAATGTTAATGATGATGATAATTTAAAAAATCATGTAATGTATGATAAATATCATATCATATGACTACATACTAACTACAGTATCATATGGCTAAACAATTTTTTTTTTATAAATATTTAGTTTCACTATTGAAACATTATATATATATATATACCTGTAATTATGTCCCCCTCTCTCTCACACACAATTAATTTGATACTAATTTGTTTTTTTATATAGTTTTCAGTATATATTGCAATACAATAATTTATATAATATAATACTAAATAATATACAGTGTATATACAGAACTATATAATTTATATATTTAAAATTTATATTTGAATATAAAAAAAATTAATAATTACATTTTAAATGCACTAATTTAATGCATATTTTAAATTATACTATAAATATTATATTTTTTWWAAAAAGCAATACAAATAGTTATTTAAATTATATATTTTTTATATATATTTATTTACTTTTTAAAATATTTAAATAAAAGTGTGAATGCAATTCAACAACAAAAATAAAATTTATACAATTATTTTTTTATTGTGTACATTATTTTCAAAAATATAATACTTATATTAATAATACTGTATTTATACAATTATCCCCTTTTTTATATACAATACAACTAATTGCACAGGTATTTTAYATATAAAATAAAATAAATATACAGTACTTATTGGGTGTTTGTCATTACAATAACCATATATACAGTATTTTTTATGGTATTAACAAAAAAATAATTTTATAATGCCTTTCCCATCCCTTAATTTTTTTTGAGCCCAAATTATCAGTCACACTATGGGTTTATTAGAAACGGTTTTATTTTCAGATATATTTAGTATATATATATATATACATGCATATATATATATGTGCAATATATATGTATATATTTATATATACTACCCGTTCCCATATGTTTTTATTAGAAATAATTTAGTAGTAGTATAGACATAAAAACACACACAAATATATTATATATATAGTATATATAAATTTATGTATATGTCTTCATCTGATTTATATTAAAGTTTATTGACATCAATTGAAACTAACAACTAATTTAATAGAGAGAGAGAGAGAGAGAGAGAGAGAGAGAGAGAGAGAGAGAGAGAGAGAGAGAGAAAACGTCTAATAAATAAATAATTTTTTTTATTTAGTTAATAATGAGGTCACTAAATATATTTGCAATCAACTCCTTAAATATATATAAATTATATTTAAATTTTTAATATAAATTATATAATTTATTCAAATTACCAATAAAAAAGTTATATTTATATTTATTAGTCTATAGTAATATACTGTACTAGCATTTTGTGAAATAAATACTGTTTTTTTATTTATTTTTATTATTATTATTATTATATTGATTGAGAGGCAAAAAAAACAAAAGTTTTATGAATTATATAATTTATTTAAGTTAATAATCAAATTTTTTTTTAAAAAATTATTATTATAGCTTATTAAAGCCATAAAATACACAAATAATTTATATATATATATATATMTATATATTGTAGTATAATAAAATGATCATGGTTAAATTTTTTTAAAAAATAAATAAAAAATACAGTACTTTTTATTAGTATTATACAGGTATGAGTCATCACATGTCTAGTAAGACCTAAATATATTTATTATTATTTCATTGAAATATATACAAAAAATAAATATTTTTTCATATTATAATTTATTATTAAGTATTATATATATATATAAATATATAAGTTAGTATAGTACTGTACCACTTAGTACACCAATAATAAATAAATAATAATAAAAAAAATAACTTGTAATCAATAAAATTTTACAACAATTGAATTTATCATATAATAATAATAATAATCTGATTAATATTGTATTATAAAATATAATAATATATTTTATTTTTTCATAAATTTCATGATCGATACATACAATAGACTTATTTTTTTTGAAGTAAAAAAATAAATAAAATAAAAAAGATTTTCTATTTTTGTATTCACTATAGACACACAAAAAACTAATTATAAATTTATATATTTATATTATTATAAATTTCTTTAAATATAATTTTATATTTTATTGTTATATAATTAATAATAATAATAATAATAATACTGTAATAATAATACTACAATATTTATTAATATTTTGAATTAAATTGAATATAAATTTTTAAATTGTTATAATGTATTGTATTGTAAAATTTATTTTAGCATATAATTGCCTCAAATTAAATAAATAATAAGAAAATAAAGTTTAATAATAAAATAATTTAAATAAAAACGAATAAATTAGATAAATAAATAATTTTTAAAAATATTATTATTCTTATTTTACTAATAAAAAAAATTTAATCAATTTATTTTATTTTCATATTTTTTTTTGAGTAGCATGATTAAACATTATATAAAATTTACATTACATTAACATTATACATATATATATATATATAAATATAAATTTGACTTAATCATTTATGTTTAATTAATTAAATAAATAAATAAATTATTTTAATAAAAACAAAATAAATAAATAAATAAGCAAGGTTATCAAGTATTCAATAATAATCAAAAAATAATGGAAAATAATTAATTTATTTTTATTTTTAAAAATACCCAAGTATACTTTACTAGCAACAAAATTTTTAAAAAATAAATAACTTAAATTGTTAGTAAATTATTAATTTAAATAAATTAAAATAAATTATTTATTTTTTTTGTATAAAAATAATTTTATTTTTTAAATTTATTAGAAAACTTAAATATAATATTAATAGTGAGAGAGTCTTAAACAGTGGCGGCGGCGATGCTATTAATTACAATTATCTGCTCAACAATACGTTTAATTAAAAAATGACCAAGAGCAATGTTGTAGATAATTTTATACTGGATAAAATTGTAATTGGTCATTTTTTAATTAATTAATTGTATTATATGCCAGATAATTTACAGTTGACTGTTTACACAAAAAAAATGCTAGTTATAAATGCTAGTCGACTGCAATTATCTGGCAAATTAAACAATTAATTAATTTTTTTWWAAAAATGACCAATTACAATTTTATCCTGTATAAAATTATCTACAACATTGCCCCGGGGTACTTTTTTTAATTCAACGTATTGTTGGCCAGTTAATTGTTATTTAATAGCATCGCCGCCGCCGCCGCCGACGCTGTTTAAGACTAATAGTAATTTTTTTTTTTTTAATAATATAAATACAGTGCGCGTAACACAGTATATGAATGGCGCCAATAATAAATAAAAACCAAAATGGCGTCAAAAAAAATTTTTTTGTTATTATTATTTATTTATGTATTTATTTTATATTGTATTGAATGAAATGAAACGAAAAATTTTTTTTTAGTAATAATAATAATATTTTTGTATCAAAAAATTAATAATTAATTTAGTGTTTTATTTAAATTAATTAATTAATTAATTATATGATATATTTAAATAAATTATAATTGTTTTATAATAATAATAATAATAATAATACATATGTTTTGGATATTATCGACAAAAATATCAATCAATTGTTTATCAGATATTTTTTAATTATAATTGAATTAAAACAATCAATTAAATCAATCAATCGGTAAATCAAATGGCATTTCGGGGGCCAAATAACCCGCTGATGGCCGCTATGGCCGCCCAGATGATGGCCGGCGGACCACAGGGCTATCCGATGCCGGGAATGCAACCGATGGGTAAAATTAATTAATAATAATAATAATAATAACCGATTTGATTGACCACTTTATTGATGATATTATCTTTTTATTATATATTTATATCACTAACAGCTGGTCTCATACCGATGCAAATGATGCCACCGATGCCCGTATGTGTCGCGCGATTGTTGATAGATATCCTATATTTATGATTAAATATTAATGAATTGTTTCTCTGTTTGTTGTCTTTGATGACCACTACTACTACTACTACTACTACTACTACTACTACCGTCACACAGGTCTCGACACAGATGGGCGTAACACCGATGCCGTCGGGTGTGACAACAATATCGGCGCCACCCGTACGCAACATACAGCTCGATAGCAGCCATTTACAGCAGCCGCCGTCGATGATGTCGGGCCCACCACCGGGACCGCCGCCGCCATCCTTATTAGGAGTATATCCTGGCGCCAATCCGGTCAGACCACCACCGTTTACTGTACTTATTAAGCGAAACAGAGAGTTCCCGCACGCCACCACTATTACCCAATAATGAGTGGCCAGATTTTGTGAACAATTTGCTTAGTATTTGTTTTTTGTTTTTATGTTACCGTAGATTTTCCAGCAAATGGCGGCCGCGACTCACGATAACCAACAACAGCTACAAAAGCCGAAACCAAAACCTGGATCAACGGTAACAGTGTTTGTCGGCAATATTACCGATCGGGCATCCGATATGCTTATCAGACAACTGTTATCTGTATGTATTTTTTTAGTTACCGGTAACAYGATCTAATCCTATTCGGTAATTAATTGGTGTCTCTCTCTCTCTCTCTCTCTCTCTCTCTCTCTCTCTCTCTAGAAATGCGGAACTGTTAACAACTGGAAGCGAGTCCAGGGCGCCAACGGTAAGCTCCAGGCTTTCGGTTTTTGCGAATACTGTGATCAAGAATCGGCACTCAGGGCCGTCCGATTGTTGCTCGACTTTGATATTGCCGACAAAAAACTAGTGGTCAAAGTTGATCCAAAAACGCAGGAAAAACTCGATGAGTATTTGAAAAGTAAAGGTCAAACGGGTACCGATTTGGACGACCAGACAAAGGATGAAGACATGATTGTTGCCCAACAGTTACAGACTGTACTTAAAGAACACGAAATTGAATTGTCTAAAGATCCCGATCAACGGGATAGACAACGACGAAACCAAAATGTTGCCAAAGATCCGACAAAACCTGAGGTTTTTTTTTGATTTGATCCCACAAATGATTAGATCTATAATAGTTTCTTAAACTAAATAGCGGTTTTCATTTTTGACACAGAATTTGGCCGAAATGGACTTAGAAGACGATAAACGATCGCTAATTCATAGAGAAATCGATAAATTTCGCGACACTTATAAGGTATTTATCCAAATAAATCAAAACATTTTATTTTTTTAATTTAAAACAAACCGTAAATTTCACTGAAAAATGAGTTATTTTTTTGATAGTATATCATTAGCTATAATAATAATACAATTGACCCCCATTTTTATAATTAATTTATGATATTATTAGTTAATTGTGAGATAAAAAATTAATACTGGATTTTAATTATAATATAAGTTAAATACTGCCTATACTTGAAAAGTGTAGAAAATAAATACATTTTTTAGTTTTTAATTGTCTTTAATTGTCTCTCCGAGACCATGACATATGACATATGTATTGCTATTTCCCCCCATAAAAAACCAGGACTTTCTCCTAAAAAAAAACAATAATGTTGTGTTGAAAAAATCAAATTCAAAAATATCATCGACTACTTTGACCTCACGTTTACAAACAAACAAACAAACAAAAAATAATATCTGTTGTGAACTAATAGACTCTTTGTGAAAGTGATTGTGATTTTTGAGGGACAATAAAAAAAAGAGATGTTGTGATTATAGGATTTATTTTCAGCGGTGAGTAAATTATTTAAAAAAAAATACCATAAGTTTGCCATTAGTTTTATTTATATTATTATTATTTGTTTTTTAATATAATTATTTTTTGAGATAAGTTTTTTATTTCATAATTTTCAAAATTATAATCTCATTGTCGATATGATTGATCCTAATCTTCTCGTTTTGCTATTTGTGTTTAATTTGGTGAGTAATCTGCATATATATTACTCTTTATTTTAATTGTGATCCCATTATTTACGGCAACATTTGATTAGATTGTTTAAATTATTATTATCATATATTTATATATATTTGAATTAAACAATTTAATAATTGTTGTCAACAACAACAACCAAAAATATAAAATAAATTAGTTAAGAGTTTTCAGACCATTTATGGGGTATCGGACAGTAGTGTTTGTTTTGTTTGACTTGACTGGACAGGACAGTCATATATCATAAATGTGAGTAAACCCTATATATATTTTTATTTGATTATATATATACTGTATATTAATTATATTTAAAATGATGGCACCGATACTTGTTTGGGACATCAGTTTTGTGGTGAGTGTTTAAAATTGAGACAAACCATTTTAAGCAACATTTTTTATATAAAAAAATAATAATTGAATGTCATGTCATAATTAGTCAATTTTTTTTAATTGTATATCTAATTAGCATTTGTATGGTGGGCACCGGTATCTGATTTTAATAAGTTTAATATGTCTTACCCCCAAATGCGGTGTTAGTTTAATTTTATATATATGTTATTTTCTCTCTCTATAATAAGTTATACTACCGGTACTATACACCACCTAAACTCCTGTATAAACACATTGTGATAGAGAGAGACAACCAAATTGTATTAATATAATTTGTTTTTTATAAAATTGTGATCCAATGCTTAGGTAAGGCAGACATATATATAAGCCTTTTTTAAATATATAATATGAAAACTTTTTTTTTTAAATATAATTATTATTGTGTAATCTATTAATATATTTTTCCACTATAAAGCTAAACTACAGTATTAAAAAAAACTGTATCAACTAATTTACAAAACACAAACTCACACACAATATTAAAAACGTAAATATTTATATGATTTTAACTAATTATATATAAAATTATTTATATATACATATTATATCCTTAATTGAATTCATTGAAACAGAGGATTGATTGATTGATTCAAAAAAAATTGTTTGTTGAAACTCATTGTAAATAATAAGATTATCTCCGTTTGTGAGCAAAAAAATCATTTTTTTATTTTATTATTTTATAATATAGTTATCTAATTATTGAATTAAATTTGATTTTTTTCCCAAACAGTCAAATATATATATAAAGTATTGTAAAAGTGATAATTAATTTTTTCAAAAAAATTTTTGTTAATTACAGAAAATTGAAGAGAAAAAAGAAGAAGAAAAGAAACGAAAGGATGAGTCGTCGTCATCGAAGTCTGCGGACAACGACAGCCGAAAGGATCGTAACAAAGATCGATCGCCTGATCGATCGGATCGGGATCGTCAACGAAGTAGTGGTGGCGGTTCGCGTAGAGATCGGGACAGAGAGCGCGATCGAGATCGGGGAGAGAGAGAAAGGGAACGTGAAAGAGAACGGGAACGCGAGAGGGAACGAGAGCGCGAACGGGAGAGAGAACAGCGCGACCGGTATCGGGAACGAGAACGGGAACAGCCGGTCGAGGACGAGGAAGAAGCGTACGAAAGACGACGACTGGAGCGACAGATGAAAGAAAAGGAGGCATCATATCAGCGACGGCTAAGAGATTGGGAACAACGAGAGAGTCGTAAGTCGAAAGAGTACGAAAAGGAACGACAGAAAGAAGAGAGACGTCGATCGGATGAGGAGGAAGAACGGCGTAAACTGAAAGAATTTCTCGAAGACTACGACGACGATCGGTTTGATCACAAGTATTACAAAGGAAATAGTCTTCGGGCCAGAATTCGCGATCGGGAAAAAGAGGTCGCTGGCGATGAAGGCGAACGCCAACAGGAGAAGCGCGAACTGGATGAGCTTAGAGATAAGTTGGCCCAAGAAGGCCATCCGGATCCCGATAGTGAAGTTCGGCGACGAATGATGGCCTCCGGCGATAGCGAACGCGATCGCAGTAACAAAGTTGTCGGCGACCGTATACACGCACTGATGTTGGAAGCCCGACAAAAGTCTAGTTCCGCTCGACTAGCAGTCGATGACGACATATCCATGGGTTCGGACATTACGCCCAAAGACGAAGTTCCTGTCAAGACATTCGGCTTTCAGGGAATGAAATTAGCCAACAATGTCAACGCCAATAGTGTCAATACTAACAACAATGGCGCCGGCGATCGCCATCAACAACAACAACAGAATAGTCAAGCATCCAATGGAAACACTCCAGACTTTAATAATGATATGACCTCATCGGGCGGCGATAAATTATCGCTGACCACCACTACCAACAATACCACCACCACTGCTGCCACAGTCGGCGCTGATCTCAAACGTAAAAAGCTATCCGTTTCCGATGTGTTCAATGCCAATGAAGACGACGACCTATCGAAAGCCAAGAAACGCCGACTGCCGACACTAGTCGACGATAACGACAACTCCAGTGACTTAAGCAATACGCCTACTGGCAAACTAGCGGCCCTAACGGCAGCCGCAGCGGCTGCGTCGGCAGCAACAACAGCAGCCCTCGGCATCGGTGGTCACGATAGTGGTGGCGGTAAATCTTCGATGTCATCGGAAGAAAAACGCAAACAAATCAAATCGTTGATCGAAAAGATTCCCACTTCAAAGGAAGAACTGTTCAAATACGAGATTGAATGGTCACTCGTCGACAATGTATGTCTTGTTTTTGAACWTTTTTTTTTGTTGGAACCGATTAACCGATTGTCTTGTTTTAACAGATATTAATGGAGCGCCGGATAAGGCCATGGATTAACAAAAAGATTGCCGAATATATTGGCGAAGAAGAACAAGCCCTACTCGACTTCATCTGTAATAAACTTCAGTCAAAAAGTAGTGCTCAAAGTATTTTAGACGACGTGGCGATGGTTTTAGATGAAGAAGCGGAAGTGTTTGTCGTCAAAATGTGGAGACTATTGATATACGAAATTGAAGCCAAAAAATTAGGTTTAGGAAAATGAAGTCACACTTTATATATCTATATATATATATAAATAAATATTATATTTATAAATATAATATACAAATAAACAAACAAAAAATTAGACACTTTTTACAAATTTAAAAACTATTATTTAAAATAATTATAATAATAATAATAATAATTTTCAATTCATATTTATATCAACAAACAAACAAAACAAAAAATAATACATTTTATTATTATTATTATTATATGATTTGTTTATACCATCGTATTTTGATTGTAAAAGACAACCTCTCGAGAGAGGTATATATATATATATATATATATATAAATATATATACCGTATATATAAAACACCCGACGATTATGTGGATATATATATATATATATATATCAGTAAATAATTAATAAATTAATAGAAAAATTTTTGTTATATTTGTTAACGAAAATGTTTATTATTTTTATTATTTTTTAAATTTATTTCTTGAATCGTGAACTCCTAAAGTAGATTATAGTTTATAAAAAAAAATTTCAAAATAGTTAATTGTAATTATAAAATAATAGTTATTAATTTTTTTGGGACCAATTGGTTGATTCATTGTTGTCGTTGTTGCCAATCAAATCAAAAGCCGGTAAATAATCGTTAACTAATTATTTTGCTTCAAATCGTACGGAGTTTATGATTAAATCGCCGCTAATAACCATTTCGTTGATAAACTTGARCGGAATTCGGTGCTTGAATTCAATGAAATGTTGGCCATTGACGGCAACAATGAATCCAATATCATATATTCGGATAGTTAGGTCAAAGTTGACACCCGAATGAAACGGAAAGTTAGGTCCATAACGCTCTTCCGTACCCCACTGACCACTCTCGTGATGATTGCGGACAACTTGAGTCTCATTGATACGCGGATTGAAATGAAAAGCCGTATCATTTTCATGCGGCTGCATATGTTGGCCACACTTGAAATCAATGGAAAACCTGTTGGGATTGTTGGCCAACACACGTCCCGATAGGTAGATCGTTAATCCTGGACGTATAGGTTCGCCAAACAGGTGCTGACAAAACTATAAAAAAATAAATACTTATTATAATAATTAATTGCTTAAAAATAATTTAATTTCATTTAACCGTGCTCATTTTTGTTGCTAATTAAGTCAACTATAAAATACAGTACTTTTAATAACTAATGTAGCTATGTTAGTTATAGTTAGTTATACACTAATAAATTTATTTTACGTTACGGTAATTTATATTATATGATTTTTTTATCTAGATAATTTTATATATCAATTTTCTTTTTAATAAAAGTAGTGAATTTCAATTGTCTATTATGGATAATAATAAGTATTATATAATATTTTCATAAACAAATTTGAGATAATAAAAATATATTAAATTTAACTTTACATTAAATATTTAGGTCCATTTAGATCTATATATTATTTGATAATAGTTAATCTAGAAAATTAGAGTGCCCAACTTATACAAAAAATAACATATAAATAATATTATATAACTATTTTAATTAAATAACTATTTGTTTTAACATACAAAAATAATAATAATAAATATATATATTAACATTAAAACAATTAACATTAAAAATACACACACAACAAAATTATTTTTTTAAAACAATAATCCTTATTTTTTATAATTGGTATTGTTAACTATAAAATTTCTATTTTCAATGTTATTGAACAATCAATCAAAAAAAAAGCTTTTATGTGTATTAAATGCTTTTCCCCCACACTTACCCTTTTACCACATACTTATGATAATTATTTTTATTTTAATTGATTGATAAATAACTTGAATAATTGATTTGCTAATAATTACTACTAAATAATAAACTTATTAAACTTAAATATTAATATTTGATAATAATAATAATAGATATAATTATTAAAAAAAATAATTATAGATATAAGTTTTTGATATCCAGTTTTATTTATTTAAAATAATAATTTAACAAAATTAGTATTATAATAATGATTATCCAAATTAAATATAATTGTAAATTTTAAAAACTATTTTTTTAAAAATTTATTATTATATAATTAATAATAAAAGAAAAAATATAAATGTTTTTAAAAATAATTTCTTTTAAATCATATTTATAAAATATATATTTAAATTACCGTATGATTTATTTATACCGTATTATATAATTAAAAAAAAATTGTACCGTAAATAGCTTTTTTAAAAGCCTGAAAATAATTTATGTTTTGTTTATTTATTTATTTATATTTGTTGCCCCAATTTGGATGACCCCCTCCTGCCGTCCCATTAGGACTGTGAAAATCGTATAGAGTTTACGATAATATCGCCGCTAATAACCATTTCGTTGACAAACTGTAGGGGTATTCTGTGCTTAAATTCAATGAAATGTTGGCCATTAATGGCCACCATATATCTGGTTTGATCTAATCGGACAATTAGGTCAAAGTTGACGCCCGGATGAAAGGGAAAGTTAGGCGCCTGACGCTCTTCGTGACCCCAACGACCTCCTTGACAGTGATTGCGGACAACTTGTTTGGTTTCGAGACGTGGATTAAAATGAAATGCCGTATCGTTTTGATGGGGATGTTGACCACAATTGAAATCAATGGCAAACTTATTGGGACTATTGGTCAGCCGACCCGATATGTATAGCATTAGTCCCGGTCGTATTGGTTCGACAAACCGATGATGATAGGGTACGGGTGGACTCAATATCGGTACCAATGGTTGATTGATGATCACTGGCGGTGCTGGTTGTGGCATATAATGTACTTCACGCCGGTATTCAATGCGCTCGATATCGACAGTGCCGTCGATGGCAAATACGCCGACACAGGCCAATGGTATCCGATGGATAAACTCGCAAAAGTGTCGGCCATTGACGGCCACTTTATAGCCGTACTGTTCGACTAATATCATTGTCTCGAACGGCTGTCCCGATACGTATGGCATTGACTGTGGTTCGCGTTCTTCGGGTCCCCACTGATGGCTGTGACGACTGTTACGGACGACTAGTTGACTGTCGAAACGGGGATTAAAATGAAAGGCAATGTCGCCGCTAGTCTTCAACGATTCCGTTATTACCGAACCGGCCATCAAATTGAATTCAAATCTAGATTTTATCGGAAGAAAACAACTAATTGTTTGTATCGTTTGTCTTAATTATATGATATATCATATATAGAGATATAATTACATACCGTCGGCATCCGTGCGGAACTCGTCCGCTGATGACAATCACCAAACCAGGACTTATCGGCGATAATGTACCGAAAAACGGTACTCTCTGTAAATAAAAAATAATTAATTAATTAATAGTTAAGTTAACAAGGTAATAAAGTTAATAATAAATAATAAATAATAATTTATATACAAACCGGTCGGTGAACTAAATTGTTGGCCATCGGGTACGGGTTGACCACTGGTTGGACACTGATGGACATAATAATAATAATTTATGGTTACAACTATTATAATCACATAAACACAAAATAATAATAATTTTGATAATCAATAGACAAAATTAAACACAAAAAACACACCAAAAAAATATATAAAAAAGTTTTTTTACAAATGGCTTAACACTGGAGTCAACTCACTATTGAAATATCAATGACTGACTGACTGACTGACTGTAAAAATGTTATCAATATTTATGTTTTTATTTTATTATTTTATCACTCAATGTATTTCAATGTGTGTTTCAAATATGTGATGCAATCCTCTATATTGAATGACTCATTCAATAGAGGATTATTGTATAAACCAATCAAATGTTTTTTTTTTTGAAAAACATTTTTTGAGGAAAAGTTTTTTTTTGATTTGAAAATAACTTTTTTGTTGTTGATTTGTTTAATTTATTACTTATAATAATAAATATATGATAATTATAATATAAATCATTAATTAAAATCTCATTATAATAATAATTATTTTTTGTTGTTGTTATACATGTACTGTATATCGTAGGTAATACTAGACATATGTTTATATATACATTAATATACATTTATTTTATTTTTTTGATATTATAACAATTTTTTATTTTATTTTTAGAAATTTGATATGAAATTTATTGATAAAATAAATACTGTATTTATATATATTAGCTTAAATTGATATAAATTAAAAATATCAAGCATAATATTATATACAGTATAACTGTACTAAAGTTTCAAATTTTTAATTAAAGTTTTCAAAAAGTTATTAATTAAAACCTATTTACTGATTATGTTTATATAAAAAAAATAAATTCTATAAAATATATACTAATACTTACTATTATCTATTATTATCTATTATTAGTTATTATTATAATTAATTTTATTTTGACTTAAAATACTTGTTTTTTTTAAGTCTAAACATTTACATTTAAAAACATTGTAATATAAGTTTTACATCAAATAAAAAGTCTATCTATTAACCTATTAATACAATAATTATTGATAAATAAAATTCAAACAATAAATTATTCAGTAATTAAATTACATATTTTTTTGTGACTAATTAACAAACAAACAAAATCTAATTAAAAAACATTTAATTTAAAAAAAACATTTATTAAGAAATATATGTTTAAAGTTTAATAATTAACATTATTTAAAAATTATTATAAATATTAAATTATAATTATAAATAATTATTAGTTATTAATTATAGGGTATATTAAGCTAACATGAATTCAAATATATTTTTTTTAAAACAAAACTTTTATCCAAAACAACAACAAAAATAATTTATTGGTAAATAATTTTTCAATGATTTTATTTTGTTTTTATATTATTATTTATAATTTTATCCGATTTATTTTTTTTCAAATAAATCAATAAATGTTCAATCATTTACTGAACCAAATAAAAACAATTGATTAAAACATTTATTATTAGTAGTAATATTTTGCGATAAACTAAATTATTCATAAATATATTTGATTAGCAAATAAAACACATAATACCTGTTGTATTAATTTATTAATAATTATTAATTTGATTGAATTTTTTTCATCAATTTTCTCATAACTAGACAATACTGTATTAATTTACATTATATGATATAATTAGTTAATTAATTTTTTACTGTCAATAATCGCGAGATATTTTTTTAATGATAATTTTATTTTTAAAAAAAAATGATTCAAAAATAGACTAATAATACGGTTATTATTAATTACTTGTGTGTCTGTGTATATAAAGTTTATATTATAAACTCACGCGCGTTTGAAAAAAACAAGTGCACGTGTGAGCACTTGTTATATTAATTGTTAATATAATGAGAAAATTGAATTTGAAAAAAAATTATTATTGTCTGAATATTTATTAACTAATTATTTATTTGTTTGTTTGGATCCAAATTTAGTTATCATTATAATTATTAACAGTTATTATTTTTTTTGAACTAATATCTAACTATCGGTAACCACTAACCATGTTTGACAACAAATGTTACGGCGATTATATAGCCGCGTCCATACTGTGGACAGCCGTATTGGTCTATGGTTTGATCAACTGGATAGTCAGCTGGTGTTGTCTGACTGAACAGGCCATCAAATATTTTAGCAAAGACTGCGACCCGAACGACAGGCAAACCATTAAATACCGTTATCTGGTAACCATTATGATCGACCCGTTTTCGGCTACAGTGGCCAACAATATACGCAAACAATACAACAGCCATACGGGTGGCGGCAATCTCTATGTCGAGTTGATTACCAAATCGACGTCGCGTATGATATCCGTTACGGTACCGTTCGGTAAGATACGTAACGGTAGGGCACACATACTGTTGTACAGACAGAAACTGTTGAGACCGGTGACCAAAGTACGGGCCATTCACGATATTGTCGAATCGTTGATCTATTTGCGTGGCGTACGCATTACCGACCAGCTCTACGGCTATACTGTCTACTATGGGGTCGAACAGGATATTCAATGCGAATCAATGGACCGGGCAGTCGCCCATCCGATTGTACTACCGGTGCCCAGACTGCTCAGCGATGAAATGTTTGCGCCAATGTTTGCACATTTCAAAAACAATACACTATCGACAACTAGAATCAAATGGTAAGCAAAAAAAAAAATAAAATAATTGTTTTGAAACCAATTGATTCAATGATTTTATTTTTAATTTTTTTTTCTTCAGCGAACTTACAGACATCCAGTCCAATGGTGTAGTGTTGGCGCCGGAAATCAATCTCTGCGAAGACATTATATTTATATCATGTTTTATGGCCACCAGTTTCCTATTGATTCCGACTATTGCCCTATCACTGGACAAATGGTTGGCAAGCGAATGGTTGTCGAAAAATGTCATACTTGCGGTCACTGTCGTGGCGGCCAGCGGTCTGGCCTACAATGGTATCAATTGTCTGGCACTTGTCTACCGAAGTTGTTTCAAACGGCCGTATGAGAGACATTGGTCGCCGAAAACAAAAGAATTGACAAAATGCGGAACCTGTTGGTGTTGGACAAGGGCTGGTATTTTGACAGTCATGTTGATGGCGGCCATAGCTGTATCGCTAGCGGTTCCGATCATTATCTGTTGTTTATTGCCATCGTCAGCCACAACAACAGCGACGGCGGCGGAGGCGGCAGCCGTACCGGTCGATGATAGCTCGCCATCGATTAGGGTTTCATTATTACCATCAAACGTGACGACAACAACAATGACCATCAGCAGCAACACTACGACAACAATGACAACGATCACCGATAATAATAATATTAATAATAATAATAATAATACGACAGCTAATGTCAAGATAGCTAACAACAGTTTTGCTAAACATTTTGAAAAACAGTGGCTCAAGAATCGGGATCTAAATGAGACACTAGTGATGACTGTACTGTTGACGGCCACTGTTTGCCTAAGTTTTACTGTTTGGCTATTTGTTTGCGGTTTTTGCCGCTATTTATACTGTTTAGCGGCTACGACCAAATACAAGTCTTTCGGCGAACTGGTCGACAATTCCAAAGATTTTACCGACGATTCGCTGGGTTTGTTGTTTTGTTTCCAAAAATCATCCGATTTTACCACCGATTTTATTATCTTAATATTTTTGTTGTTGTTTGTATATATATGTATAGATAAAACTCATGTTCCGCTGGGAACCGATGTAGTGATGAAAGAGCTCAGCTCCGACAACAAAAACCCGACCCTAAAAACAGGATCCATTCACCGGCCGATCAGTCAGTCAATGTTTGCCGATCCCGAAAAGTTTCGGATGGCCAGCGAAAAGTTTAAGAGTCCGCAGGACAAGTCTCCGGCGGCGGCGGCGTCGCCGCAGCCAACGTCAACACCGCCGGCCAAATCGTCACAACAAAACAAGACAACTAAGACATCGACAAAACAGAAGACAATTAATGAGAAATCAATTTCCAGCAGATCTTAAGTTTATATTTTTTAAAAAAAAACAGTAATTATTATTTATATAACTTATATAATTGTTATAAATAGTTATATTTTTTAATAATTAATTTTATAATATTAGTTAATTTAGTTTTTTTTTGATGTTATTAAACAAAAATTAAATATCAATAATATATTCTATATATAAATGAATAAATTATATTTGCATTACATTACACTTTACATTACAAAAAATGAGAAACAAAAATAAAAATATTATAATTAATTTTTTATTTTTGTTAACACAGAAAATAAATCTGTTTGTATATCTGAAAATGTTTTTGACTATAATATTATATAATCATTATATATATATATAATATTAATTAATTTATTATTAGTATAACAACTGATTTATATTTTTTTAGGACACATTCACATATTATAATATAAAGTTTATATTATAAACACTGTATATATATATAAAACCAATTTATATAATAAGTTATAAATTTAATAGCAGATATTTTTTTTTATAATATTTATTAATATAATATACAGTATATAATACTGTATATAAATATATTAAATACCGTGATTTTCAAACATAAGGTCACTAATATATAATATAAAAAAAAATTATCAATGTTTTAAATAAAACCTGTATGTAATCCCAGTATTAATTGCTTTTTTTGCTGTTATAACTTTTTTTATATATATTAATTTTTTGTTGTAATATAATGGTGATTAACAAATATTGTATTATTTTTATTATTATTATTTGTAGTCTCATTTAAAAACGCGTTATAATAGTATTTAATATTCAAAAATGTATTTTATATATATTTGTATGTGTAATGTGATGACATAGTTTTACAAATAAATATTAATAAATACTAATCAGTAATAATAATATTGATTAATAAATTATTGGCTATTGTTTGATTTTTTTGTTTGTATGATTAAAATTGTTATTAATATTTAAGTGTTAATAGTTTTTTAAATAAGTTATTTTCAATAAGACATATAAATAAGTGTAACAATTATATCAACTATTTCTACGTGATTTTAAGTTTGAACTTTTTGTTTAAATAATTAAAGTAATAAAAATACAATTGGATATAATCTTAAAAAATTATTATTAAGCAAATTAATAGCTACTGTTTAATATATCAATATATATCGTAAGTATTGAAAAAAAATTGTTGATTAAATATCTTATTGAATTGTTTGACGCAAATATTATTGCGTTATATAAGTAATTATATTTTTTTTGTTTGATTTTAAGATAAAGACTTATTATTAATAACTATTGATGTAAACAATAGCTAATTGTTTTTTAAAAGTGATTCACACTATTAAATGTTAATTAAAAAAAAGCTTTTTATAACCACTTGATTGTTACTTAATTACTTAATAGTATAATATATATATATATATATATATATATATTCAATACTATATATTGTGCTCAATTATATTTATATCAATTTATTATTATTATTTTAATTGAAATGATAAATCATATGATAAAACTTATTGATTATAAAATTTTTAATATCAAACAAAACTCAAGTGAGAATTCAATGGGGAAAACAATAAAATTGATAAAATTGTCGCTAATTTTTATTTATAGATTATGGGTTATAAGTTATAAAAATTTTCACAAAAATTATTGCTACTGTTGTTTATCGATATATATAATGACAAACATAACCACTAAAAAAATCCTATTTTTTTATTCATAATTTTTTCTATTATTTAAAAATAATTTTTATTTGGAAATAATTTAGTATTGAGTCTAATTACTAATAATTAGTTTCTATTTATTAATTTATTTAAATATTTGTACATAAAATTTAAATAATTTATAATTATAATAACAAACATGACTGCCTTAATAAGTAAATATTATTGAAATTATTTTGAATTTTAGTTTGTTTTAATTGAAATTAATTTTTTTTAGAAAAATTCTCTTAATTTTTGAATTATTAATTAATTAATTATATATAATAATAATAATATTGTTTAAAGGTATCGATGGTCTAACAAATATGCGTAACTATCCGGTGCTGGCGATCATAGCCCTCATCGCCATAATATTGTTACAATGTTTTACCAATAGTTTCGGTGATGTCTTCATATATATTGTAAACTCAATTATTATTTTTACAAACAAACAAAAATATTATTATTAATTAAATTGTATTGTAATTATATTCAATGAATTATTGTTATATATATATATTAGTTGATGAATATATGGCATACAGTTATGTCCAGTGGTTTATCGCAAGCTTTTATCGCCTCATTTGTTATGATTTTATGTACAGAATTGGGCGATAAAACCTTCTTCATCACTGCCATTATGGCTATGAATAATACAAAGTGGACGGTATTTATGGGCTCAATGACCGCCAATATTACGATGAATGCCATATCAGGTATAATAATCCCTATAATAAGTTATGATACAAAAAAATATTAAACTATTTAATAGTATTTTTAATATATATATATATATATAAATATATTGTATATATTGGAAATTTAATAGTTGAGTTAATGTAATATACAATAATCTAATGTATTGATTGACTAAACTTTTAAATTTAAATTTTATTTTATTCAAAATCAATTATTTATTTTATTTTTTTTCGTTCAAATAGTTTTGATAGGATTGATGACACAAGTAATACCAAAACATTTGATTAAAAACTTTTCGATAGTTTTATTTGCATTTTTTGGCTGCAAAATGATTTACGAAAGTTAGTGTTATTATTGTTTTAGCATATAATGTGAAAAAAAATTTTTTTTTTCAAAAACTTTAAAAGTTTTTTTTTAATTAATTAATACTAAACTAAAGGTTAAAATATTTTTATAATAAAAAATTTTGGTTTAATTATCAATCAATAGGTTATTATACGGATAGCAATCAATCGCAAGAAGAGTTAGAAGAAGCGGAAAATGAATTGAAAAAACTTGAATCAAAACAAGTAATTATAATTTAAAAAAATATATTTTAATTATAATTTTTTTTATTAATTAAAAATATCTTATAATAGTAGTAGTAGTAGTACTCTATATATATATATATATATATATATATATATATATATATACTTATCAGTTAACTATAAAATATCTTTTTAAAAAAAAGTTTTTGACATTTTAAATAATATGTGATATATTTTATTTTATTTTTAAAAAAAAGATTAATATATACTTAAAATTGTTTATCAATTAATTTTTTACAGGAAAAGTCAAACTATAAGTCAATTATATCAACTTTATTACCATTTGTATCATTTGTATTCATTGAGACATTTTGTCTGATATTTTTTGCCGAATGGGGCGATAAATCACAGGTCGGAACCATTGTGTTGGCCGCACGTGAGGTAAATATATTGTATACCTAATAAATATAACCGTATTTTTTTGAAGGATAATACAACTATCCTTATTATGAATCACACATTTACTTATCGGAAAATTTTTTGTTTTTATTTTTAAAAAAATCATATTATTTATAATATTTTAATTAATTAATTAATTAATATCTAATTCAAGGATCCAATTGGCGTAATGTTGGGATCAATATGTGGTTACTCTATGTGTACAATGATTGCCGTATTGGGCGGCAGTATTTTGGCCCAAATTATATCGGCTAAAACTGGTAATTATTATTATTTATTTATTTTAAAAAAATATATTATAAAAAGTTTTATTAATTTTATTATTATTATTAAAAAAAGTAACATTAATTGGCGGCATATCGTTTATATCGTTTGCATTGATGGCATTAGTAATTGGTTCATAATAATTATTAGGAAATATTTATTTATTTTTTTAATTATAAATAATTTTTTTTTAATAAATAATCTACCTATGTATAATTTGTTTGAATAATAATAATAATAAAATAATAGATTTGATTAATTAATTGAAAATATTTTTTTAATGTTAAGTGATTTCTATTAATTAGAGATAAATAATAAAGCAATTAATAATAATTATATAAAAAACACATTTTTATTGTGTAAATATTTGTGATTTTTATTTTCATTATAAATCAATTTGTATTCAATAAAGATTTGATTTATTTATTATTACTTTTTGTTGTTGTGGTATATAAAAGTGATATAATTTTTTGTTTAATAAACATAGAAATAATTTAGAAAAAATAATTATATATTGAATAAAGTAAATGATTTTTAACAATTCATTAATAATAATAATAAATTAATAATTAGTATGTTATGTATAATAACAAATAAATTATTATGTCAATTATAAATATATCGGTAATACTTAAATATCTATCAAATATAATAATAATAATAAATTATTATCAATGTAGAAAATATTTTAAAAATATAAATTTATATTTTGTTCAATTTGTTCAATTAATTTCAATAAGTTATGATTTTTTTTTTAAATAATAATATTATAATTTAGCTAGGTTATTATTATTATTATTATATTTAAAACATTCCAGGTCTATCATTTTCTTTATTACCACTTTTCTCAAAAAACATAAAGTCCTGTAAAAATAATTTTAAAAAACACAAATATAATATTAAGATAATTATTACTAAAAAAAATTTTAAATAATAAAAAATATGATTAATTAATTAGACATACAATTAGAAAACAGGCGCCCAATAGTACACCCTTGATATTGACGTCCAAATCCATGGGAAACGATATGCCGAAGTTGTCGGCATCGGTAAACATTTCGCGGGCCAAACCCGACCATTGTTTCGTTATCTTACCGACCGATGACTTGCCGTCGGGTGTGGTCACATTGAACTCGACATCACCGCAACAGCTGAACGTACAAAATGGTCCCTTTTTTTAACAAACAAACAAAACTAATTAGTTGATCCACTAATTGGACAGTTGGTTATAATTGATTGATTGATTTTGCTATATATTACATCAATACGTAGGACAGTATCACCGGAGGCGTCTTCGATACGAAATTTCGGACAAAATACGCTCCACTCCTGTACTACATAACCGATTGTATGGCCAGGAGGTGCCGTAACCTCAAGTTTCTACAGTATATATATGTGTGTTGTTTCAAATAGTTTATAAGATTTAAAAGTCTTATTATTATTATTATTGAATAAATACCTGAAGACAACAGAAACACCAGCAAGAAGTACAACGATATGGTCGATACAGATGAATGACTTCCTGTTGAGCGTTGTCTAGTATTTTCATATCAAACGGACGCAAAGATCCGCAACAGTTTCGGGTACAACAGTCCGTGTCTTTTGATAACAAACAAAACAAAATAAGATATTTATCCAAAAAAATTATTATTATTTTTGTGCAAATAATTCAATCAATTGACTCTTCAAATACCTTCGACAGCGTAGTAGACCTTCTGTCCCATACTATTCTTGATGGTATACTTGTTGTTGGTCTCAAAGCCGGTAAATGCTATTAACAACAACAACAATAAATTACCGGTAATTAGAGACACAAAAAAAACAATTACAATTTTATACAAATATGTATACAAACCTTCAAGTAATTCAACTTTTTGGTGAACCAATAGCTGGTCAATAGCTGTCAAATACTCTAAACCGGGCGGACAGTTGACCGGTACAGCGGGAGCGGCTACCCATTGGGCTAAAGTGTGTGTGTGTGTGTGTGTGTGTGTGTGATAGGATGGCAATTATTTTGATAATTTTAACTAAATTATTATATAAAATTAAATTTAAAAAAAAATCCTATTACCGGGTTGTGGTGGTTGTGGCGGACCGTAGTTTGGTGGTGGCGGCGGACCATAGTTTGGTTGGGGCGGTCCATAGGGTAGTCCTTGTTGTGGCGGTATATAGGGTTGAGAATAGCTATTAATTTATTTTTTTTTTAAATTTAATACAGTATAATTAATTGAAATTAATAATTTTAAAATACACAATTTTAATTATCAACAAAAAAAATTAAATAAATAAATAAAATTATTTTTAAAAAAATTTTGTTTTACAAACCCTTGTTGAGGTTGTTGTGAATAAACAACTTGTTGTGACATTTATTTTATTTTTTGGGCTTAGATTATGATTTAATGATAATTTATTTAATTTTTTGTTTGTTGATCACAATTATTGTAAAAATAAACGCTAACCAAAAAAATGTGTGTTTAAAATCACATATAAATAATTTTTAATATAACAACAAAAACCACAAAAATAATTACTAATAATTTAAAATTTTTACGAGAGCTTTGTGTTTCAATTAGTCAATGGAAATATTGTAACTTAATATACATGAAAAAAAATTATTATTATCATTATTGATATATATATATAAATTTATATATAATATATATATATTAATGTTGAGCGATAAGAGGCCACACCTGTTTGGTTAAGCCAACAAATAATAATAATATAAATAATATTACAAAAATTGTCTGATTATTTGCACTGATTATGGGGATTCACTGTAGATTCATATATTTAATTTATTGTAATAAAATAGCACAATATATTTGAAATAGCATTTATATATATATATATATATATATATAATATTTTTTATTGGTTTATTAGCATAGACTTGATATTTTAAATTTATATATATATATTCTCACAAAATAAACTAAAATTATATATATATTTATTTATTATATATAATAACTAAAAAAAAAGTAATTAAATGGTGAAAAATTTAAACGTCAATTTATTTTAATTATTACACCACAAACAGTAATACATATGTGTGATTACATGAGTAGTAATAATAATAATATTGTTGTAGTGTTTAGTTAGGCGTAAAATGTTAGATAAAAAGTCTAGTTTTAATATATATAGCCTATATATATATATATATTAATATACGGTATATACTGTACCAGGCTGTTATATTGTTTATTTTTCTAGCTATACATAGATAGCTATTATTTTTATTAGTACAGTATATCGTACGATATATTTATAGTGTATATATATAGAAAATGTTTTTATTAAAAAAAATCATTAAAAATATAAACTATCGTTTTGTTTATTCATTTCATAATATATAATATAATATATTTTTTGTCTGTAATAATATTGGATATTGAATTTATTGTTGGATATTGAATTTATTGTTGGATATTGAATGAGTTTACACATTAAATGTGTAACAAATGTGTTACAACATACCGTATCTTATTATATATATATATATATATATATTGTATAAAATTTATTATAACAACAACATTGTAATATTATATTAGGTTTATTATCAAAGTGATATATCATCTATATAATTTTTTAAATACTTAATACAATGTTTATACATATATGATATTATATACAGTATATACAGTATTTTATTATTATTATATATCATATTTTTAAATACAAGTATTATAAATACAATCAGTGTTTTTTTGTATGATTAATGTAAACTTATAATAATAATACTAATAAAAGTTAATAATATATATAGCTTTCAGTTATGGTCTGCAATCGTGTGCTTTAATATAAATTATATTTACTTTAACAGTATTTAATTATTATATTTAATTTTATATTTTAAAATAACTACAAAAAAATTAACTATAAATCAACTTTGATAATACAGTATTATATTAATCATTACTGCAAAATATTATTTTTTAATTCATATTTAAATATATAGAAAATATCATAATATACTGTATATAATATATATAATATATTATTAATAACATAAATTAAAATACCGTATAAACATACATGTTATGTATAATGCATGCACATAGTATTATAATAAAATAAAAATTTAAATATATATATATATATATATATATATAACTAAATTATATGATACAATTGAATTGCGAATTGTTGATTATTTAGATGATAACAATATCCAAAAAAAATATATTTCTATAGTTATATAGTATTTCATCAAAAAATATATATTTTAGTATTTTTTAAAAATGTCCTTGAATGGTTTTCTCTTTTATTATTATTTTATGATTTGATTTGTATAAACAATATATATATATCATAAATTAAATAAAAAACAGTGACAATTATGATAATACAATATTATAATACAGTATAAGCTAACTGTATGTATTAATACATTATATTAATAATTATAATAGACTTAAACATTGATTTTGTTGTTGTAATATATATATATATATATATATATATAATAATAATAATATATATATTGTTGATATCAATATAGTTTCAGTAAAATAATTGTCATCTCATTCATCAAACTTTATTATCATTATATTGAATTAAAATTTATCATATTTTTTATTACCACATAAATCATTCATACATACCGTAAATTGAATTACAAATAGATTAACAAAAAGAAATAAATAAAATTTTTGTCTTAAATGCCAAAACGTAAACTTTTGTGTATAAAAGTTATTTAGCATAAAATCTAAGTTATATATATATACTGTATATAACATTGATTTACATAAAAATATTTCCCAAAACTAAAAAATATATAAATTATTACTAAAAATATATACTGACACTAATAATATAAAACCTTAAAAATGTTTATCTTTTCTAAATTATAAATATCTGATCTCTATTTTTATATACAGTATAATAAAAACAAAAAAAAGAAACAGATTTTTCATAGAGATATACAGTATATATATATATATTAATAATACAATAAAATATTTAATTTTTTAAAAATAATCAAAATTATAACAAAACCGGTATACAAATTATATGCTAATTTAATTATATAAATTATTATCTTATTGCAAATAAAATCAAATAAATAAATAAAATAAACACATATTTATTTAAATTAACAATTAATCATTTTATTATCATTTTTACAATTTAAAAAAAAAAATTTGTTTTTTAAGCAGTTTTAAAATATTACAACAACAAAATTTTTTTGGTTATCATTTTTCATCATAACATAAAAAAAATGTAACACTATATCAATTACTACTACTACTACAGTAAATACAAATTTGTTTGTTTGAAAAATACCGTAATTCAGAGATAAAACAAATAAAAAATAAAATATAATATAATAATAATAATAAAATAGTTACCAAAAAAAAAGTTAAGCTCACAATAAAAATCATAACTCTTAAGAAATAGAGATTATTATTATTTGTATATAAATATATTCAACACGTGATTTGATTACCAAATAAAATAAGCAAAAAAAAATCATTATTATTATTATTATAACGAATAAAAATTAACAAATAAATTATTGTTTTATTATTATTATTATTAAATTAATAGATAAATATTTTTAAATGATTGTAAATAGCACTCTATATATTCAATATTATGGGTTAAAAACTAATTATATAATTAAAACTGTTTTATGTTTTTGTAATAATATTATATTATATATGTAATGTCAATAAGTTATTTAGCATTAAATAGTTAATAGATAATGAGCTTGGTAAATTTATATATTTTTAAAATATGGATGATTGTAAATAGCAACAAATGGACGGATTTTTTTTTCACTCATAATTACATTAATTTTTAAAAAAATTGTTTGTTTGAAAAAAACAATTTAAATCAATAAGTGTTTAAAAATAATAAGCAATTATAAATATTGTATTTATATATTTAGATATATATTATATTTTTAAAAAATCAAAATTAAAAATCCGTTTATCAAAATAAAACAAACAAAAATGTTTTCGTCAATTAAAATACATTTTCAGTCAAAAAAAAATTAAAAGATATAACAAAATATATGATGAGATATAATAATAAAATAATAATATATATAACACAACATTCAATAATATACTGTATATGAAAGCGAAATTATCGGTAAATCATTATTTTTTTTTTTAAAACAATAACTCATGAGACAGTCCATTGCATGACAGTCGAGTCGCGGCCGCCGATCGATATGAGTCGCGAATCGTCGGCCATAAATCGGACACCAGTTAGATGGCCACTGTGTCCGCCGTACGAATGATTCAGACATTTCGGTTGCGGTGCCGGATAGCTGTAGACATTAATTTTACCGAAATCATCGCCGGTGGCCAACAGGCGACCGGAATGCGAACGATCGCACGTATTGACATCGCTGCCGTCGGCATTCTCTGGCCAAATACCCAGAACGTTAAAACCGAGTACCGAATTGTGCGACTGCCAGTCCAGGTCGCGGGCAATGGACATATTGTTCAACTGTCGGCAAATGGTTGCATTCCAGAACAGGTGTTCGTAATCGCCGGAACAGCTCTGAATGTAAGTACCATCTCTGGTAAAATCAAGATGTGTTATGAAACTTGAATGACCCGAACATCGGCCGATTCGGTTGTATTTGCGATATTCTTCGGAAACCTGATAGACATAGATATGATTATCGCGTGAACCGAGAGCCAGAAAGCGTCCGTCGGGCGAAAACTTGACGCAATCTATTTGTTCGTTTCCGTCCGAATGCATTGATATCATCTGACGGGTTGTCGAATCCATTACTATCCATCGGCTGCTGGTCGTTGTGAAAACCAATACGGAACCGTCGGGCGAAAAAGCGGCCGAATGTATGGCTTCGCCCATATCCTTACTCCAGACGGCTGTATGCGATAACGTATCCCACAAGTGGACAGTCTTGTCATAGCCGGCTGTTATAAACTGGTTTTGTGTCGGATGTATAGCCAGTGCCCACAGTTCTTCAGTGTGACCCTTAAATAATAATAATAATATTATTAAATTAAATTATAGACTAAATTAGTAAATCTTGAATCAATCAATACCTGAACCACTAATGAAAAATTCAGTGCAAGTGTGCCCTGAAGTATACAATTTTTAGTGGTGCCCACCATTAACATCGATCCCTTTCCAGTGGTCAGTGTACGGACGCCACCGAACTGGTCGGGTAGCTAAACAACAACAAACAGATCATTAATTAGCATTAATTTTTTTACAGACATTTTATTTTGCCGGTTAATACATACTTTAGCCTCTCTTCCAGTCCGACTAAGCATGAAATCCCATTCGACAATACGTTTGTCTTTGCCGCCACCCGTTACCACCGATCCATCTTTCAATACGCAAATAGTAAAGACACCGCCATCGTGTGCACCATAGACTGCCCGAACTGGCCGATTGGATCCTCTTTGCCAGACCATTATATTGCCATTTGAATCGCCAGTTAATAGCTCTCCCATATCGTTATAAGCCATACACAGAATATATTTCGGTTTTTCTTGTTTCTGATGAAAGATTAAAACCGAAACCAAAAAAAAATTAAAAAAATAAAATACAAAAACTTATTTTTAAAATTTTTTTTAAAAGTTCACTTCGCATAGAGAGAGAGAGAGAGAGAGAGAGAGAGAGAGAGCAAATATATCGCAGAAAAATCAAAAAATTTAAAAATAAATTTCAAGAAAAAAAACTTCCTTTTCCACGATTTTTCTCATATATAAGTGAAGTGAGAAAACAATTTCAACAAAAAATAAAAATATAAGAAAATCGTTTATTATTATTATTATCAAAGACTGTGTGTTTTGAGAGTGACTTTTCTCTCTCAAAAACTATGGTAAAGAAGTAGAAGAAGTGGTAGAAGAAGTCATGCATTCAGTCAAAAGCTAAGCGAAGAGAAAACTAGTTTTTTGTTTTGTTCACAAAAATCTTTTTCTCAAAGAATAAAAAAAAAGGTTTTCATACCATTTCTCATCGAAATTACACCAAAAATAACAAACAAAATAATAATACTTATATATATATATATATATTGTATATATAAAAATCACAACAAAAAAACCGATACAACAGGACTACTACTACTRCTACTATTAAAACTACTAATCTATAGGTAAGTGTGTGTTTGGCTTTTAGATGTACATCAATATTATTAATGAAAAAAAACAAAAAAAACTAAAAACAATTTTAAAACCATAAGAGAAATGTTTGTGTCAATTGAAAAGAAATGCTATTATGATCTCTCTCTCTCTCTCTCTCTCTCTCTCTCTCTCTCTTAAAAACAATAATAAAAAAATAATAAAACAACTCAATAAAAAACAACAACAAACAACTCTTATATAAAATACGATTTGATTGATTGGGAAATTCAATACACAGACAGACAGACAGACACATTAAGTGTATATATCAGATGCACTGATAAGTAAAGAGAGAGAGAGAGAGAGAGAGAGCGAGAGAGAGAAAGAAAGAGAGGGTAGGGCTCATCCCATTAAAAGTTATACAAACCATTACCTCAAAAATACCCAATTTTTTCGATAGAGATCCGCCCTCCATATCCCAAAAGTGTATATGACCTTTACCGACGGTGGTCAGTGCAAATCGGTCCATCGGATGAAAGTCGACGGCCAGTACGGGATCGCAACTGGTTTTTGTTTCGGTAATTTTGTGTCCTTTGTCGGTCTTTTGCCAATCCCATAGCGAAATGGTATGTTCGTTGGACTCGTCGATTACACACAAATGGTTTCCGCCGTCCAGTTTGGAAAAGGCCAGACACAGTATACTGCGGTCGAAGTCACCGTTTTGGCCGATTATGTGCAACGTATTCAAACTAACCGAATCCCAGATACGTACATGTGCTCTACGCTCACGTCTATTATTATTATCAATAATAATAATATTAATTATATAATTTTTTAGTTGTAAAAAACTAATTATTAATAGTTAGAAAAAACTTACATAATTTTATCATTTTTATTATTATTTCCCAGTTATAGTATGTTAGTGTTAGTTATATAAGAAAAAAATTAATACCAAAGTTATAAAGGGGGTATGCATGCATTTTTTTGACAATTTATTATATATATATATATATATTGTAGATTCAATACCTGTCCAAACTGGCTACCTGTCCCGTAGCAATGAGCAATCGATTGGGATGTACTGTCAAACATTTAATATCGTCGGTGTGTCCCAAATAGTGTCGTTGGATCTGATCTTCGACATTGTAGAGTACGACTACGGCAGCGATAAAGTAGACAATCTCACCGGTCGGCAACAAAAACAAGTTATGTCTACAATCGCGACCCCGATATCCGTAACTTTTTTTTGAAATTAAAAAAATAAATAAATATAATTTATAGTAAACAGAAAATAATGTTAATTTATTATGAAAATTTAAACAATAAATTAAAAATATTTTTTTATTATTATTAATTGTTGACAACCAGGTGTTCCCTCACAAGAAGGATGAAGAGGAGGAGGAGGAAAGGGGTTATTATTTCAAGACAACAACAAAAAGCGTATCAATAAATAATTAACCAGAAAATAAAATATTGAATAAATAAATATAAATAACTAAACTATTTGTTATTATAATTTTGTTATATATATATATTAAAAAAAACAATAATAATAATATATTCATTACTAAAATAAAATTATAAATATCGTGCAAATCTTGTTTAACACTGACATACATTTTTTGAGAGATAAGTTTAGATTTAATTTTATTTTTAAATTTATTTTTATGTATATATATATATATATATATATATGTAGTATAGTATTAAAATGTAGTTTAGATGCAAATCGAAATAATGTTATGATAATAATAATAATAATAATAAAATCTAAATGATATTATTATCATTATTATACCTGTAGTTAGAGTCATTGAATAGTCAACAAAAAATAAATAAATAAAAAAATACTGTATTAGCTATAATAATATCTAACTTAATGACCAAAAAATTAATATCAATAGGTAAATAATAATAGAGAGGAGGCTGGGGGGGGTCTAAATGATAATAATAATAATGTTATTATTTTATTTCAATATACTTACACCCATTCAAGCTTAAGGCGTTGTGTGGGCGGACTATTGACTTTGTTTAATGAATAACTGTGCAATTGGTCGGTCGGTATGTGTACCACTAGTGGATGTCCTCTAAGGTAAATACGAATTATGCCGTCCTCTAAATAATAATAATAATAAATTTTTAAAAATATATTAGTATTATATAATTATAATAATATCAATTTTTTCAATGAATTTTTTGTTTGTTTATTTGGTACACAAAATAAAAATGCATTTTTTTACTCCTATTTTATTAGAGTTAATAAATATCACTACATATAAGGTAACAAAAATAGTAATACAACTTAGATATTACTAAATCTAAACTTTATTTTTTTTAAGTAATAATAATATTAATAATATCTAAACATGTATTTAATCACAAAAAATATTACTAATTAGTTAATATGTGTAGGATTTTTTAAAAAAATCTCAATGATATTGATTATTATGATTATCTGATATAAGATATTATTATTATTATTATTACATAATATGATCTTATATGATATAATTTATTATATTATAAAAAAAATTGTGTTAAGTTGATCTTATTTTTTATTTTAAAAAATATATTAATAATAACATAAATATGTTTTAATTTACAAATTTTAAACTCCAAAATTTTTTATTTTAATATAATTAAATATATTTTTAACAAATAATAATAACTAGTTTGGCAGCAAACTAACTAACAAAAAATAAATATATTTCAATATTAAAATTAAAATTTTATTTTTTTTAAGTTATAGTTTTATTTTAGTTAAGTTTATGGCTCAGGAATGCCATGAGTTGGCGGTTAAGCCCTTGAGATATGAGGAGCTCTTCCTTCCGAAACAAACAAATAAAGCAAAAAAAATAAAATAAATAAAATAATAATAACTAAAAAAACAAACAACAAGTTTGTAATGACATTATTATCTATTAATATTTATAATTTAATTATATATATATATATAGATATTATAATCTAATGTAAAAAAAATTTTAAGTTATATTTTTTCAACTGTAAAACCCTTAAAAAACAATTGTCTATTATTATTATGGCTTTCAAAAAAAGTGTCTATTATTAGAACTCTATTATAATTATATTATATTATTATAATTGTATAATACATACAAACAAAAAACAAATAACTAATTTTGGTAGTTAATAATTATCATATAATCATTTTGTGTTTGTGTGTTAAAAAAATAATGATTAATGTAAATATTGTCGCGCTATTCATAACTTAAACATTAAAAAACATTGAAAATTAAAAAAAATAATTTAAAAATTCATACAAACCTTGATTATGAGTGGCTTCCTTAGTACTAATTAATAAAATTAAATAAATAAAAAAACATTTATTAGAGAAAAAACAATATATGTGTTATAAATATGATAATAATTCATTAAATAATAATAATTTTAATGAATATCATCAAAAAAAACAAAAATAAATATTGAATGAATAGAGAAAGAGAGGCGTTTAAAAAGCATTGAGAAAATATTATTATTATTAAAAGACATTTATATTATAAGACAATTAAAGGCATTATTATTATTATAATAAACATTTATATTACAAGTTTTAGTTTTGATGAGATAGTGAAAAAATAGTAACCAAAAAAAACCAATTCATGCATTATTTTTACTACCGATAATAAATATCTACTATAAAAGCAATTATATAAATAGTTTTTTTAAAAATAAATTTGATATAATATATAGTAAATCCATCACCAATTAGAGAGAGAAAGAGAGATAAATATTGACATTTTTGTTTTCAATATTTTTTTCCTAATATCAGTGAGAAATTTAAAGCCCCGACAGGTTTCATAAAAAATATGTTTTTTATTATTATTTAGTTTTTTTTTATTGTTACCCATGTCTGATGTGGTTTATAGCACCGGTAGATGATGTTCTCATAACATGAAGATTAAATAGTGACCCACTGGTCATCCGTCTATATATACAGACATATAAAAATAAATTATATATATATATATATAACATATGTAATATCATACATAAACCCATAATACAAAATTAGTACTGTATTACTACTAGATAATACTCATTGAATATTATTATTATCATATTTGAGTGAAATTAATTTATCAGAAAGTAATTATATATATATTAAATGTCAACTATTTGTTAAAAATATTAAATTAATGAACATTTGTGTGTAGAGCCTTATACTGTATAAATAATTAATATAATATATACTGTAATATGCTATTGCATTATTACAGTATAATAATATAATTAAAAATTTCCGACTAATATGTAAATTTATGAATAATTTAAAACTTCAAACAAAAATTGTCACACATTGTCAATGTGGTAATAATTTTTTTTTATTTTGTTTGCCTAATTTGTAAATTATACTTTTTTAAATAATTATATTTTTTTAAAAACAACAACACGACTAGACGTCTAATAATTGGTCTAGGTAATATATATATATATATAAATTTATATATATATACTGTATATACCAATGTAGTAAACTGATAATAATCATGAGATATAATGTAATAATTAAGAAAAAAAAGGTTAAAAATTTTATTATAAAATTATTATTTTTTAAAGTCATCATCATCATATCATCATAATTGTAAAAAAAACACAAATCGTTAATATTATATTACAACATAATAATAATGTATGTAATCATAATAATGATATAAATTTTTGTTTCATATATATATGTCTGACTCTATATATATATATATAGTATGCATATTATTATATTATTATAATATGTTACTATACTATACTATAGTATATATTATGAAAAAAATATAAATTATATTCAGAGCACACAAAAATATGCGTGAGTTATGGCAACCAAACTAATACTGTATAGTATTGTATGTATACATGTGTGTGAAATAATATGTTTTTATTTTTAATAACACACACACACTCACAGAATATTACGGTAACTAAACTACAGTACAAATCACTAATAATGTATTAACAAAAAACAATAATAATAAAAAACAATTTGTCTCTCAATGTTAATAAACTCTAAATGTTTTGAAGTAATATAATAAGTATTAATAATAACTTATAATATATGCGAAATATATGCTATCAACAAAAAAAAACTAAATTTAAATAATTATAAATATATATATAAAAAATTAAATATTATTCTAATTATATTTTTCTCCATTATTTTAAATTAGTTATAATTTATAACAAATACCTAAATAACTACTTTAATATACAAATAATAAAAATAAAATAATAATAATAATAATTTTTTACATATAAATAAATATTTGCAAAATTAAAATAAAAACAATAAAATATTTTCTATTATTTTTTTATAATAAAAAAATAATGTTGTCTCAAAATGAGGCACAAAATTATTTATTTAGTTTTTTATTACTAAAAATAATAATATTATTATTATTACTACTTTATAATAATAATAATATAATAGATTATATTCTGTATAGATATCTAGTTTTTTATTGTTGAAATTATAACACAATTTTATAGATTATAATTATATAAAAATATATAATAATAATATTTATATATTTTTTAGTACTCATTATTTTATAACCTGAATTATTATCTATCATTAATTGTCATTTTTTCGTAATAATAATATTGATAATAAAGGTCACAATAGTATTTAATAATAATAAATTGATAAAAATAAATTACTATATAGTCTAACTTTAGATATAATTATAAAACATTAATTAATGAGCAACAGCATCCTAATTAATATGTATAATAATAATAATAATATTTTTTTATAACTATATAAAAAATAACAATATAAAAATAATTAAATAGTTGATTGAATCGTTAATACAATGTATATATAAATAGTAATATTAAAAAAAACTACTAAAATTAATATATATTTATAATCACTAATCGTTTAATCACTTTTTCATCTGTATATGATTTTACTATAATATATGTATATCAACGATGATAATAATCTTAATGATTGCATTGATTATATAAATATATATATATAAAACTAAAATTAGCATTAAATAACAAAACAAAATAATTAAAAAAAATTAATAACTACTTTATATGCATTATAACAATAGACAGACACACTGTTTGTTAATAAATAAAACACAAAAATAAGGTTATAATAAAACAAATGATTACAAATACAAACAAATAAATTTTTATAAAAAAAATTCAAAAAAAAAACAAACTAATGTTTAATAATTACTTTTTTCAAAAACAACAACAAAACAAATAATCAATAATTAAATGAAATATAAGGAGACAGTCATTACCTATTGGACAGATCCATGGGATTGCCTCTAAACTCTTGACTGGCCGACCATTTCCGCATCGATACCAAGTTTGAAGTTGAGGACGAATACGACGACCGGTGGTGATCCCGTTGTGGCGTATGTCTGGGCGATGTACCCGACAATGGCGTATGGGTTCGGTAACTGTTAGACGACTGGGACGGCGATGGCGACGGTACTGGCGATCCGCTGTTTGACGAACTATGACCTCCGCCACCTCCTCCTCGGTCGCTGTTGCTATGGAGGGAATTGTTGGACGGATAGTGTGTAAGGCGTCGGTGACCGTTGACCACTGGCTGACCAGACGGTGCACCCATTGTTCCTCCGTTGCTGCCATTGATGGACTGATTGCCGGCATTTCCATTGATTAATAGATTGTTTTTCAGTCCATTTATACCATTAGTATTATTATTATTATTACCATTTATATTGTTGGTGTTGTTATTATAATTAACATTATTTCTTGAATTATTTGGACTATAAATTGAAGAATTGCTATAACTTCTTAACGATGATAAATGTATGCCTTTATTATTATTATTATTATTATTATTATTATTGAATGTATTGTTTGGCAGTGTTGTTGATGTAGTAGTAATGACCGGTGCTATTGATTAAATTGGGAATGAATGGGGAAATAATAATTTAATATATAATTTAAAATTATAATTAATACATAATAATAATAATGATAACTCTTTTTATTTTATTTTAGGGTAAATCAAGTTTTTTTGTGTAATAAATTAATTTTTTTTGTTGGTTGAAATGTTTTTTTAAATGAATTGCAATTTAATAAAATTAAAATTTCTTACTAATAGCATAGCCTAATAAATCTTCATATAAATGGGATTTTGAATCATAAAAATAAAAATATTTTCCTTAACAACAACAACAACAAGAAAAAAATTTGGGGAAAAAATCAGTCATATATTGGTTTAACCGATAAGTAATATATTTTGTGTGTGTCTGTGTAATAATTTATATGTAAATAAATGATAATATTCAGTATAATTGTGGATATAAAGTGTTTATCGACAATAAATATATATATATATATATATATATATACAACTGTATATATATATATATATATATATATATATATATAATTTATATATCGATAAAATTATAAACTGTTATATATTTGGTCCAAAAAAATAATTATCTTTTAAAAAAAATAATTATCATAATTATATTCCAATACATATAAAACTTATAATACCAATAATAATAATAATAAATAGCTATAACTTTTTATATAAATATATATATATAAATTGGGTGCTAATATAGATGTCAAATGATAAGATAATTACAAGTTAGCCGTATATAAGAAAAAATTATATAATCAATTTGTTTACTAATAATAATAATAATTATTACACAAATATATCTATCTATATATAAAAAAATAAGTTTCACAAAAACAAGTGATACCCATCCATACCTCTGCCCTCGAGTTGAGTAACCCGTCTCAACACATCAGCCAATGTACTCCTGAGACATACAATTTCATCGCACTGTTCGCTTAATTTTCTCTCTAAATCTACGACCCGTTGCTGGAGGTGCTCGTGATCTGCGTGAGTGCCGGTGCTGTTGGACAGGAAGCTATCATCTGTTTGTTTGGTTGGTTGGGATTTGAGTTGAAATTTTTTTGAAAACACAAAAACAATAAAATAAATTAATATAATTAATTAAAGTTTTTTTCTATCTATTTTAAAAAATAATTTATATATTAACTTTTAAACTAACTTTTATTTAACATTTATTTTTTTACACACTCGACATATTTTACATTCAATTATAAGTAGAGTATATACAATATATATATTGTTTATACAATATTTAATAATAATAATATTTCTACTATTATTGTGTATTTTTTTCTATTGCTAACAAAATAAAAATCACTTTTATGGTTAAAATCAATTCACTTAAATAAACATAACTATATATATATATATATATATATATATAATTTTTAAAAGTTGTTAAGATATAATAAATACAACTAATAATAAAAATAATATACACACACAAAAAACCGTTAAAAACAGGCTTTTATTGTATAATGTATTTATGAAATGCTTATGAAATCATTTATTATTATTATTATTATTTTCTATGGATGTCTTACACACTATAATAAAATTATAAAAATCATTTACAACTATACAGACAGACAGACACACACACAAACACACACAGTCACAGACACATGAATTTATATATTTATCTATCAAAATATAAAATAAATAAATGATAAATATTGGTTTGAAATAAATAATTTATTTAACTTTGTATTTGAAATAAAATTATATTCAAACTATTGATATCCAAAYAACAASAACAAGARAGAAAGAAAGAAAGAGAGAGAGAGAGAGAGAGGTCTCGCAWATATAAAAATCATAACTCAAAATTAAACTGTATTTAAAAAAAAYTTTTATATATATATACGTATATATGTGGTGGAAACTACTCATGATTTAGCATAAATTATTCAAATTAAGAGATACCGGTGCTCACCGTGTCGTGTATTATATGTATAGGTATGTGTGTGTGTGTGTGTGTGTGTGTGTGTATAATATATATGTGTGTGTGTATAATATATTAGCTAAACAAAAATTTTTGTTTTATATCCCCTTAACATTTGTTTTTAAAGGGATAACTAACTATATATTTTTTATTTATAAAAGTTTTAATCATACATAGCATATGGGTTTTAAAAATACAACATATTATATATCATATATATATATAATATAACTTTTAAATGGGCAGTTCATTCAAGTTAGTTGTTTAACTAAAAAAATGATTTATATATGATATATAAATATATAAAATAAAATACCGGTATATAACCTTAAATATACAATATATATATATACTATACTAAAAAAATATACAGTAATAAATGTGTTATATAAATATATTTTAATGCAAAGTCATGTATAAATGTTTTATTGTTTTTTATTTTGTTTGTTGGTTGAGAAACGAGATTTGTTAATAATAATAATAATAATAATAATAATAATAATAATAATAATAATAATAATAATAATAATAATAATAATAATAATAATAATAATAATAATAATAATAATAATAATAATAATAATAATAATAATAATAATAATAATAATAATAATATAATAATAATAATAATAATAATAATAATAATAATAATAATAATAATAATAATAATAATAATAATAATAATAATAATAATAATAATAATAATAATAATAATAATAATAATAATAATATAATAATAATAATAATAATAATAATAATAATAATAATAATAATAATAATAATAATAATAATAATAATAATAATAATAATAATAATAATAATAATAATAATAATAATAATAATAATAATAATAATAATAATAATAATAATAATAATAATAATAATAATAATAATAATAATAATAATAATAATAATAATAATAATAATAATAATAATAATAATAATAATAATAATAATAATAATAATAATAATAATAATAATAATAATAATAATAATAATAATAATAATAATAATAATAATAATAATAATAATAATAATAATAATAATAATAATAATAATAATAATAATAATAATAATAATAATAATAATAATAATAATAATAATAATAATAATAATAATAATAATAATAATAATAATAATAATAATAATAATAATAATAATAATAATAATAATAATAATTTTCATGAGCAATGCAAAAAACAATGGCAACAAAATATTATAAATATATATTAATATATATATATACTGTATATATCGTATATAATTTTTATGTATAGAAACTTACATTATTTGAGATATATTATTATTATTATTATTAATATAATACTAATAATAATATTATAATAATTTACTTTTGCATTCAATATATAATACGCTCTGTTTGCTAAATGCTTGATATAATTGTCGATATTTTTTCCATACATTAAAAATATATGTAAAAAAAATTAATGAATAATTACAATAATAATAATAATAGTAAACCTGAAAGGAAAAGCTCTAATAATAATAATAATAAAAAACATTAATTAATTGGTTATCGATTTTACTATTATTATAAACACCTTTTATTATTATATCATAGAAAATGTCAATATTTTTAAGTTTACATATTTTTTCAAATTTCAATTATTCAACTAAAACCTATAAGTGCTGTGAAACAAACATGAAATGCAATTATTGTTAATCACCTAATCATTTATTTATCTAAATTACAAAACATAATTAATATAATATAATATATTTACTGTATATATAAAAAAACATGTTAATAATCACAACAAAAAAATCAAACACACATATAATTACATTTGCAGTAATATTAATTACAATACTAGTTATTAAATGATATAATATAGGTATTAACTAACAGTAAAACTTAATTTTAAATAATACAATAATAATAATTTAATTTAAATATTTCATTATATATTAAAAAACTAAAAATTCATGATTAATCAGTAAAAAATATACATATATAATAATATGAATAATAAATTGTCAACAAATCTAAACATTAATACCATACCATAAAACAGCAAAAATAATTAATTAAATACTATTAAGTTAGATTAAAATCAAAAATAAATTTATTTATTATTTTTTTTGTTTGTTAATTTCAATTCAAATATCCTTTAACTTAAAATTAAACCGTTAAGATAAAATGTATTAGCAATTAATTTATTTTACTGTTTTTTTTTGTTGAATACATAAAATAAATTAACTAATAGTATTAAAAATGGCAATTATGCATGGTTTACAATAGCAGCTTGATCAATTATTCAAATGTATGTTAGACTAAACTAAAAATAATACTAACAAACAATAATAATAATAATCGCCCAAAAAAATCGTGACCCAAAGTCATTCACAAATTAATTTAGTCTTTAATTTTTATTTTTATTTTCTCTCTTCAATAAACACATAACAATCACATTATAAGTGCTTTTTAATATTTAATTTATTTTTGTTTTATTTAGTTTTTTTATATATGTTTGTAATGCAAATGGTGTTTGAAATAAAAGTCAATTTTGGTTTTATTATTAAAAGATAACAAAACTCTAAAACTGTGTACTTTTAACAATATATTTAAGAGAGAGAGAGAGAGAGAGAGAGAGAGAGAGAGAGAGAGAGAAATACTAGATAAACAATATGTTATTATTTTGTGTGATAAAAGCCATTAAAATAAAAATATTATATAATTTAGGATTCATTATGCATATATAAAAAATGTTTGTATATTTCATATAAATGTTTTGATTATTAAAAAAATATATTATAAAATAGTTGTTATAGTATAAAAACACACTTATAAAAAACTAATTTACAAAAAAAAATAATAAACAATAAGCTATTGTGAAAATATTAAAAAATATTTTGAAGATAACTAAATGACACATTGCGTGAAAAAATATTACCGTAATTGAAAAAATATTTATAATAATAATAATAAATTAATCACTTTTGATATATATTTTCAAAATCTAATAATAAGATAACACAACATTATTATTAATATATAGTAATATCCATATTTGTATTTAATAAAAAAAACATTTTACATTGAAAATATCTAAAATAAAATATTTGTTGTATATATTTAAAAAAATATTACAAATTATATAATAATAAATGATACTATGATATGAAAAATTATATTTTATTAAAAATATGTTTGCTTTAAAAAAATAACAACAAATTGCAATGTTTTATAATATATAAATATCATATATAGCTATGATTGTGTGATTAAATGCAAATTTTTATTATTTTTAAACAAAAATTAATTCACGTCCGTATAACTAATTTTTTTATTTGCTGTTTGTTGTTGTTATAAATCATAAAAATATATATGCATTTAATTTAAATAATTAAAAAAATGAGAGAAATTTTATATTTAATGATAGTTATAACAACAACAAAATAATTATAATAATACACTGTTTTATATTTATTTATATAGCAGTTATAAAAAAAATTATTTAAAATAAAAATATCAACAATAGATTTCCGCAATAAATAATACTAAATAATAATAATAACTCATCGACAGTTATTTCAATATCTATTATATTAATATAAATTTATAAATAAATAAAAATTGTAATAATAATTGCAATAATAAACTTGATTTCTATGAAATGAAATAATATAAAAAAAGTAAAAAATGCGTCTATTTTTTCTATTAAAAAAAACAAATAACGAAAATATAAATTTAAAATACTATTCTCACGATATATATATATATATATATATAAACTAAATATTATATACATATAAATAAAATAAAATTCAACAAAAATTTTTTAAATCAGACATTAATTTATTTTTTTTAAAAAAAAGTAACAAAAAATTGTCTGCAATTTCAAGTAATTCAAGTACTGCTCCACAAGAGATCCACAATTTATTTATTATTTTATTTATTATTAGTATTGATATTATTACTAAATATTTTTATTATTATTATTAATTCAAACAATTTATTTTTTTTAGATAAAAAACTTTCATGTCATCCGATAGTATCATTAAATAATTTATTTTATATAAAAAATAATATTTTATTTTTATTATTATCATTAAACAAATTATTTTTTATATACATTTTATTTTGTATACATAATACTTAAAATAGCGAAAATTTTCCGTAAGATCCTTCAAAAAAATTGTTATTATACTACTACTACTAATAATAATAGTATATAATTTATATACAATAATAAATCAAGTAATTACCATTCAATTATATAACACATTTTTTTTGCTAAATAGTATATTATAAAAATTATATACAATTATTTAATTATCAATTATGCGCCAAAAATATTTTCAGCATAATTTTTTAAATAATAAATTATAACAACAATTTTTTTTTGAATTGTAAAATTATAAAAAAAATACAAAATTGCTAATTTATTAACACACACATAAAATTAGCATTATTAGCATTATTATTACTACTATTTAACACCCACTCTCAACAAATATTGTTTATTTTTGTTTTGAATAGTTATTAGATAACTAACTAAAATAAAAAAATTTTTGATACAATATTATATCAATTATTATTATTGTTAACACTTTTAGGTGCTCATAAAATAAAGTAATTACACATTTTTAACATTCCTATATTTAAAAAAATTTATTATAGCGGTATATATCAAAACAAAATAAACATATATTCAATAAAAATGTGTCAATATATATATATATATAATATTGTGTAAATTGTTATCATAATATAAGTTTATATATTATTATAGTAAGTGTTCATTTAACTTAATAATAACAATAATAATAAATGCAATTAATTTATAGTATACTACTAACTAATAGGTTATAAAGATGGGTGCAAAAAATGTGGGAAAAAGTTTAACTTTAAATATAGGCGCCAAACATTTACATGTGTAAATGTAGATAAAATTAAAGTAAACAAATAGATAGCCCTATTAAAGAGCTTTAAAACAGTGTGCCACATGTGTTTGTTTACTTCTCCACATCGACGGCAAACCTCAAGAAAATGGCACCAAAGAAGACAAATCTCGACGCCCGACGGACACTCGAATTCCTGTGGAACAATGGCCAAGATGACCCGAAGTTTTTGATGATGGCCACAGGAATACCCAAGACCACCGTATACCGATTGGTCAAAAGGCTACGGGAAGGTAAAGGGGTCGAACGGAAGCCTGGCTCTGGTCGACTTCCAAAACTGTCAGCTAATGATAAGCGACGGGCTACCCAATTGGCCAATAATAACCCGATGACCAGCTCTGGTTGGATATCGGGTGAAATGTCCAAAAGAGGTAGTCCGCCGGTATCTCGCTGGACAGTTTGGAGGTCATTAAAAAAGTCGGGACTTCTTAAATGGCTCCCACAGCCTGTCACTGTCACCACAACACTGGCATTGTCAAAGGGAACAATTACCGCCGAAAAGTACCAGGACATCCTAGATGAAAATATGGCCACCATTGATGTCCTGTATCCCGACGGCTTTGTTTTCCAACAGGACAATGCCAGTGCCCACAAAGCACGGACAACAACACAATGGTTCCGTGATAATGGATATGAGGTCATCGACTGGCCAGCAGTTTCGTGTGACCTCAATCCTATCGAAAATCTATGGAGGCTCATGAAGGATGCCCTGGAGAAAGAATTAGAGCGCTCCGTAGATAACTGGATGGCAAAAATCGAAGAGATATGGGAGGTTTGTGCTCCAAAACATATAGAGAGCTTAATTGGAAGTATGGATTCCCGATTAGAAAAGTGTATTGCCGCCAATGGGGCAAAAATTAATTATTAATTATTATTATTTTTTGATTATATATATTACTAATTTGTTGTGCAATAATATTTAATTTATTAAATCAATTAAAAATCAATTTTAAACACAATTAATTTATTCCCATATTTTTTGCACCCATCTTTATACAGTATATATATTTTTTAATTGACATACCATACCCTAGTGTAATAGTAATAAACCATTTATATATATGGCAACCGTTTATTTTATTAATAAATAAAAAACAAAATAAAAATCAATATATATATATATATAAAAAAGGTATGTCTGTATTATAATATAATACTATTATACATATATTGTTTAGCCGGTAATTAGGGTCAAAAACCTTGGTATTAATAAATAAATAGACAGTATATAAGTATATAAAAATTTACTCGACATATATGTAAAGTAGTTTAATAATAATAATAATAATTTTGTGTTTAAACCATATAAATAGCATTTGAAAGTTTGAAATATAAAATATGATTTTTAAAGTACAACAGTTGTGCTAAACACCTGCCTATCCTCTCTCTCTCTCTCTCTCTTTCTTTCTTTCTTTCCGGTGGTCAGCCATACCCTTCCCAACCATACACAYACACACACAGAGCACCTGCAGATAAGGGTATACACACACACACACACACACACCATATGTTGAGATTGAGTGATGTCTTTTAACTACCATTACTATACACTAGTCTACGGGTATAACAATAAGCCATAAAAATATTACTACTACTATAATATAATACTGTACTCACAAACTAATGCATCAATGATTGTATGAAAGTTTTTTCACATACAATAAGTTTTGTGCCCAACTCTCTCTCTCTCTCTCTCTCTCTCTCTCTCTCTCTCTCTCTCTCTCACTGTATGTATGCGCTAACCATTAGGAGGAAAGCTATTATAGTTTAACTATTAAATGAAAAATTATATATATATTGAAGTCAAGGACACAGTGGTATGTAATTGTGATTTATAAAAATAAAAAATATTTTAACCAAAAAAGTAGATTGTTTTTGAAACTAATTTATTATAAAATACAAAAAAAAAATAATGAATCAAAGAGATATCAATTCAATTAGTTTATTTCCAGTGATAATAATACTAATACATATTGATATAATTTTATTGCTAATTAGTGTATAGAGAGAGAGGATATCAACTAAAAAATGGTATTTTAATTTATTTCTAATAACTTGTTATTAGTTAAGAGAGAGAGAGAGAGAGAGAGAGAGAGAGAGAGAGAGAGAGAGAGAGAGAGAGAGAGAGAGAGATAGAAGTATATCTCCCGGTGCTTAAAAAAACTAGTAATTTTAAGGGGATTTATATATATATTGGTATTATATTTAGGGATTAATGGCATTTCAAACGTGTTGTGTGAATATACTGTATATATAGATAACTATTTTATTATTTATTTATATATMTATATTTTTTTTGAAATACATTTTATTATAAGTAGTGTTAGTCATAAATGTCATAAATATTGTTAATAATTGATTAAAAAAACACTTTATATAAAATAACAATTATTATTATAATAAACAATATGCTTGTATATAAATTATATTCTCTCTCTCTCTCTCTCTCTCTCTCTCTCTCTYTCTCTCTTAATTTAAGTACAAAATGATAAACTATAGCAAATAAAACATTGTATTATTTTATTTTTTAAAAACAAATTATTAATATAATAACCTAAATATATCACACATTCAGACAATCATATATATGTGATATTTAGTCTATTGATTGATAGGATTTATATCATATATCAACAAACATATCAAACAAATATATATAAATTTATTTTTAAAAAATATATACATATTATTTAAACAACAAAAAAAATAGTGTAAAATTCAAATAATAATAATACAAACCATTATTAATGTTAAGATCGACTAAATTATTGTTAAGATGAGTATCGTTTTGATGATAATTATTATTGTCACTGGTATTTGAATTACCATTGATTGCCATTAATATATTATTATCATTATTATTGGTATTATTAATAATATTATTAGTAGTATTCATATTATTATTATTATTATTATTAATATGGTTTTCAACAACAATTTCACTGTTATTACTAATATTGATGACATCACTGTTGTTACTGTTATTAATTATATGATTATTATCGGCAATAATCATCAAATCATTTTCATCGTCGATAATACTATTGTTGTCATCCAATGTTATAAAGTTTTCAACAATTATTGTTTGCTGAGAGTCTACGGCACCGTTCAATGAGCTCATGGCTTATGGATATATTATATCATATAACACACTGACATAAAAATATTTTTAATAATATCATAAACTAAATAAAACATTTACTTTTAAAATTAAAAATCAGACAAAATGTTAAAAATGTATTGAATAACAGTAAATACAAAAAAAAATCTGACTTTTCATAAGTTATTTATATATATATATATATATGATATACAAAATGAAAATTATTAGCGAAAATTAAAACTACATTTACTTTATGTGTGTTTGTATTGGAAAACATACAATACTTTTATATACAGTATATTAATATCAAATCAAATGAGTCGATGCCATGCATTGCCAATACATTGACTGCTAGACTACTACAGTCTCTCTATGTGTTTATATATCTATACAATGTGTTTGACGTTTTCGACGGTAACAACAACACTGCCTCTTGAAAATGTAAATGACATTCAATACAAACATTTTTTCTGCACTAATACTAGTAATAATAGAGTGACCAAAAACATTCAAAACAAGCCCTGAATTATAATTTTTAATTATATTAAAATCAATTACTATATTTTAGTTAGTATCTAGCAACAATAAAAATGTAAAACCTAGACAATATATTGAAAATTAATTAAACTAGTTTAATTTTATTATTATTATTATTATTACTAAAACAAATTTTTGTTAATGAATGAATTTTTTATAAATGTCCAGGATGTTTATTTATATATACAAAGTTAACCTGGTCACCATACACAACTGGTTGCATTGGTTATATTACAGTGACGTCACAGTGTATGTGTGTGTCGACACCTATTGGTTGTATATTTCATACACGTGTTTACCATTTGTTTGTGTTGACAACCAAATATCACCCATCAATTGATCCCAAAAAATAATTAAGTGATAAGTGATGGCAAAGGGAAAGTCAAAGTAAGTATTTGTTAAGTTATGTCTTTATTTATTTTTGTATGGATCTAATCAATTGATTGATAATTATCTTCTCCCCGCCGCAGGTTCTTAATGGTATGGATCAAGAGTCTGGTCAGCGGCCATCGGGTTGTGGCCATTAGGCCCCGACTTAATGAGAAACTTGAAGTTCTTCGCTTTGATCCACATGGTAAGTCCATATGATTGGGATGTATACCACCATTAATTGGTCCATACATTTTGGGTTTGTTTGGGTGATGTCTTGTAATTGTCTTTTTTTGTTTGTTCAACAGTTGAACAATGGTGTGTCTATAAAGAAGCTGAGAAGATCAAAGGCGCCCGATATTAGACACTGTTTTTTATAGTTAGTTATCACTTTTCAATTGATCCCATCATCAATCGATTACACCATCTGATTTAAAAATGATATATAGATTTATATAATAATTTAGATATTTTTTGGTTTTGTTTTGTTTTCACAATTATTATGTGTATAATGTATTTGCTATTAATTAATTGTATGATAAATAAATTTAAATGAAAATCAATTTATTTAATTTATTTATATATCTATTTAATATATATACCGGTAAATAATTATCATACAGTATATATGCAATAATTTATTATTACAGTAGTAACATCAATACAAATATATATCTTATATTAATTTTTAATAAAAATATAATATGATATTTAATATATCAATAAAATTGTTTAATCATTTATCATCATCATCCGGTAACATTATACCAGTAAATATTATTTTTGTTATTTTACTAAAAAATAACAAAAATTGTTTAAATCAATAATATACTGTAACATTTAAATAACTATACATTTAAGTTGCCTATCTATCTGTGTGTAATATTATAATTAATTAATTTTTAATTTTATTATTTCAAATTAATTCAAATTACCGGTAATTTATTTTTATTTTTTATAATAAATAATTTGTAACACACTTACTGTATGACCCTTACCTGTGATATTATATGAAAACCTATACTATATTAACGCCATTTGGGAATTGTATGGGAAAAACATTATTATTATTATAAATATTATTATTATTTAATACATTATTTTTCGGTGTATTTAAACGTCAATTAGGAAAAACACTTTTAAAAACACTGTTAATAACAACAATGTATTTATCAGTCAATTATTATTTATGATATCATTTTTTTTAAAATTTATATTTAGTTTAGTTGTTATTTATTTTTATTTTTGTGTTATTGATTTAGTAGTAAATTAATTGTCTGTTTGTTTGTTTAAATACTGTATTAATTAATTGTTTCCCCGAAAAAAATATATCACAAAAAAAGTTGAATTTAATTTAAATGTAAAAATCATTTTTTCATATATCATATCATTTAATATATGTTTGTTGTCACCGATAGAGATGGGCAAATAGAAAGTTTCTAATAAATTTCCGTGAGAAAGTTTCTAGAAAGTTTCTCATGAATAAATTTCTATAGAAATTTAACTTTAATGTTATACTATGGGATCCCCATATCTATAGTTATTTGAAATACTATAAATATATTAATGAGACATAATATTGTACATATAATATTATACAAATGGGATACCTATATAAATAATTATAATTATTTAATAATAATCAATTTTGTAAAATTTTATTCATCATTTTATTATATTATAGTTAAATATAATTAAATTAATTAATTTTCACTTTAATTAATAATTAAAATACTAATAATAATATATAATTATTACTTGTAATAACAATGTTACAAGATAAAAAATATTGAAATAACAAAATTAACCATGGGGATCCCATAAATAGAAATTTCTTTTAGAAACTTTCTAGAAATTTCTCTATTATTTTATAAATTTCTCTTTTTTGCCAACACTAGTCACCGACGCCGATATAACCATCACTTGACTGACTGACTTCAAATCTACCGCTAATTTCCAACTAACAACTGATCCCAACAACTATACATACCATTCATACATTCATCCGATGGACTCGCGAAAGATGTCCGACGAAGACAAAGTCAGTCTTTGCCGTAAATACTTTTACAGTAAGTCCCGCCACCGCCGCCGCCATTGAATTGGTGGCCATTTATTATAAAAAACAATTGATTTGTTATTTTCACACATCCGATACAGTCGGCTTTGCGTGTCTGCCGTTTCTCTGGCTGGTCAACAGTGTCTGGTTTTTCAAGTACGCCTTCGGCAACGGCAGCAGCCATGAAGACGTTTCATCGTCGACGGCCAGAAAACCGTTGCGCCGATACGTTACCTATTCGATGATCGGTTCGGCCGTATGGATAGTGGCCATCGTTGCCTGGATTACGACTTTTCAGCTAAAACGGGCCCAATGGGAGGCCACTGGCGACTATTTGTCGTTCAATATTCCCCGAGGAATACCATAAAAAAAACTGTTTTTTTGTTTGTTTGTTTGGTTAGAAACTGTCATATATTTCATTGCAATACTAATGAAATAATAATTTAATAATTTATTTAACATAAATTTTTTTATACGATTTAAAAATTAAAAAAATATATATTGTTTTTATATAAATATTTCAATATTACTCTCTCTCTCTCTCTCTCTCTCTCTCTCTCTCTCTCTCTCTCTCTCTTACCGTAATGTTAATACTTGTTTAGCAAACATAAAATTAATTTTTAATTGTAAAAATACATATTTAACATAAAATAACAACTAATAAAATAAATTGTTATCATTTTTTTGGTTTCTAAATATTATTTTATTAAAWAAAAAAATTTAGCAAATAATAATAAACGACAACAAAATAACTACCTGTAAAATATAAAGTATTTTTTTTGGTAATTGAAAACAACAATTTAGATTTAAATTAATATACAATACTATGAGTGTAATAAAAAAAATGAATCTATGATATCAAATATGTGTGTTGAAATGTGTGGGTGTATTGGACGATGAATAGAAGGACAGGTAGTATAGGGGGGTTCCGGGAGACTATACGGGACACCCGATGTTGTTGTTTTTTCAATGGCCGTAGCGCTGGAATTCCCATTCTTTGTTGTCCAATGGACAGACCTGTCGGGTTTTGAGCCAACGGGTAATACAATGCAAATGAAAGGCATGATTGCATACACCCCAGGCTAGTGTACACTCCAGCGCTACGGGACTGTCGACATTGGCCTGACATTCGATACAGTGTTCCATAATATGATTGCGACAAATGGCACAGTTTTCGACGGCTATATCCCAGGCCCAGAGGGCTACCGACGAAAATTTGGTCACTTTGAATCGGGGACCCGATTTTCCGCTACCGACGTCACTACTATCGACTGATACGGCCATGTCGTCGTCTACCGACTCGGTATGGCTTTTCTTCGTGTTGTTGGCCACCACTACTTCTTGATGGTGGCGCCGATCGTTGTCCACATCCATGGCCTCCRYATCGTTGTCGTCGTCGTCACTATTTGATGCCATAGTATGGGTGCCGTTGCCGCCGCCGAATAGTCGTCCAAAAAAACCACTCATATATRTGATATAAAAACTGGGAAAAAACTTTTTTTAGTTAAGTTTTGTCTGTTTGGATGAACCGGTAAATTAAACCAACAACAAAAAAATATGAAGTTTTAATTGTCTAATCTAATCACTAATTAAATTGTGTATTGAAAATAATATGTGATATAAATTTATTTTTTGAAAGTTATTTTTTAGTGTCAGTTAGTGTCGAATAAATTTATAAAATTAATTATATTTTATTGAATGAATTTATTTAAATTTAAAATTTACAGTATTATTTCAATACGTGATTATTTACTGTATTTAATAGACTAATTGTTACCAAAAAAAAAATTATCTAATAATAGTTTATCAAATTATATATTGTGTGTAAAAAATTATTGTTTGTTAATCTCATACATTTTAATAGTATCCTGGTAATATAACCAGTTTCATATAAATATTAAAACTAGAAAAAAAAACTATACATACCCATCCCCACCTAAATGCTATTTTACTAAAATAATAATAAATAAGTACTTTATACAAATTAAATTACCCCCACCCCCTAATAAAACTTTATAACAAAAATGTTAATTAATAAAATGTTTTAAATCAAATAAAAAATACTAATTTTTGTTAATCAAAAAAAAAACTTTTACATGTATTATCATTTATTTATTAGTATTAAAACTAATACTGTATATAATTTTTTTGGACAATAAAATAACATTTTGTTTATATATATATAATTTGTTTCAACAAAAAACAAAACTTATTGATTACAATTAAATTATTAATTAATAAACATTTTATTTAAAAAATAATAATAATTTATTGTCCAATGTATGGGACGTAATAAATGATAGCATTGATCGCAATGACAACAACAACAACACAACAGTAAACAGCATTTGAAATATATTTTTCAATTCAATCATTCAATTGATGTTTTGCTTTACATTATTATCATAACTATTGCCTCATATTTTGCACATCACTTGATTTGATCCCATATTTTTTGGTTGTTGTTGTTGTTGTTGTTGAAGACATTATTATTATCATCACWTCCACATCACTTGGAAGCTGCCACCTGRCCATCACTTATAATCCCATCACCGGTCAGTCACACACACACACCGACAACAACATCGCGGCCGCGATGGACGACRACTTGGATGACGACGACGAAGTGGTCGAAGAAGTGGATGTCTATCTGAACAAAAGTCTTGCCGACAATCTCTACGTTTTCCAGTACTGGTCAGACGGKTCGCCGATTGCCCAGTCGCGCGACGTTAATGTCAAGGCCCGACCAAATCACCGRATGTTTGAAATAGAAACCAAAGTCGACACCCGATCGGCTAATTTTGATCAGAAAAAGAGCGAATATTTTGGAAAATTGTTGGCAATGAGTGACCAGAAATCAGAGTCCAACAAGAAATCGGATAATAGGAGAACGTCAGCCGATTACGAGATGATGGCCACAAACAAAAAGCTCGATAAACAAGTGCTGAAGTCGTCGGAAATGCGGCCAACACTTGGCCARTACTGTGTGGCCGTTATTCGCAGCGATTGYCAAGAGATGCACTTAAATCCGATTCAATCGATCATCCAGTTTAGACCTCAACTYAACTATTTGGACAATAAAACACCCGAAGTGAGTGCCACCGTCAGCGGCGCCGGCGGCRGCTCGAAATCCAAATCMTCCAATACGGCCGCCGGCGATGAAGARTCCGAGGCCGATATGTCTCAGGACGAGACTGAAGGCCAGTCGATTCAGACCATAACCATGCGRTTYGCTGGCGGCGATGAGGACAAGGCTCGCAAAGCCCGTGAAAAGACGTACGCYTTTCTCCAGCAATCGTTGGCCAAAGATAGTTGGACTMCWGTTAAATGCCATCCAATTGATAGCCAAATATCATCGGATAATAGGATGTCAATGATATATAACTCATCAGATGATACGAATAATGGTGAATATAATACCAGTTCCATAGCTAGTCTTAGAGATTTCTTAGAGAGACTCAAATGTTTGGATGAGACGACACAACAACAACAATCACAGTCGTCTTCGTCTGCATCCACGGCTACCACTACCACATCATCGCAGATCAGATGTCTATCGCAGATTGGTTTGCTATCATATGCCGATCAGGTCCGGGAATTGTTAATCAATGCTAAACTCTTGTCGTTTGATGAGATTATTAGTCTACTAAAGGGAGACTTTGATCAAACATCGGTACTCAAAAGTGTCCAAATCTATGCACTGCTMGTTCGGGGCMATTGGGTCGTCAAAAGTGAAATACTCTATAACAGAGAACAGAGGCCCAGAAGTGCCAACACTGGTATACCTATTGAACAGTTGTGTCGTACAAGAGATTACCTGATCTGGCGATTCACACAAACCAAGTCGTTGTCGAAAATGGAAACGTTTTCGGTGTATAAAAACCGGATTCCCGACGAAGATGTGGTCGATATTCTCAAACAAATTGCCCGATTTGATCGATCAACTAAACTGTGGACATTTGCCGCCGAAGACGACACTGGGTTTATCGATAGATATCCGGATGTTGTTCAACGACAACAGCTTCTCTGGTCCAATAGATATCATGGCTTAGAGCGGACTTACAATAATAATAATAATAATACCAATGTTGTTGTTGCCATCAAATCGGAACCGATGACGCCGGACAACAGTAGTAGTGGTKTAGGGAAAGGATCAGCAACTGGTCAACGAAAGCGCCGAAACTCAAGACGAGTTTCKTCTAACTCGACGACCACCAGTGCYACCGSCGGCGACGACACAGAGATTATCGAAGCTATGAGTTCGTCGACAGCGACAATGAATCCATCAGTGGTAGACAATAATATCATGGCTGTGAAGATTAAAAAAGAACGCAAATCGCCGACAAAGTCGATGATGGCCGCGACTATAACGGCGAGTGGCAGCGGTTGCATTGCGGCCAAAATCAAGGAACGCAAACGATCGAAATCGCCGAAAATGGCTGTCTTCGAGATTAATACGACGGCTACACCCTATCCGGCGGACGAAGAGTTTCGCGATTTAGTCAAATTGATTCACGAAAGACTAAAGTCAGCGCACTGTACGACCTCTGAAGATCTCCGGCAATACGTCAGTGACAACAACACCGCCACCAACCGTTTATGGCTAACAATTGCCGAAGAAGTGATCGACAAGGCTGTAGTCGATTCGGGCGGCTTTCGAGTTAATAACAAGTGGCCACAGAATGCCACTCAACAGCCGCTCTATGCCTACACCAAGTTTGGCGACCATTTGGACGATTTCAGGGATACGCTGATCGAAATGTTTGCCGATCAGACCAGAATTCGGGTGACGGCTTTCATTGAGAAAGTCAAAGACAAACAGTTGACCGGTGATCGCAATTATGACATAACGTGTAATAAACTACTAAAAGATTATTGTATTAATAAGTCGAGCGTCTATTATCTTAAGGGAACTGTTAGTCCCAATTGATTCCATGATTTAGTTTAATTAATAAACAATAATAATAATAATTTACATTTTATTCATTCATTTACATCTACGACAACAATAAGTCACTTATAAAACTGTACACTTAAATTATTTTAGCGGCCATTTAATGTATTGTGTGTCACCGATAATGTCATTAATAATAATAATTAAATAAAAAAATATTGCATAAAATTTTTTAATAATAATAATAATAAAAAATAAATGGATAAATAATTATAATAATAATGATTACATTATATATCAGATGATTTGATAATAATATTGATGAAGACTTCCCATCAGATCCATCACTCATTTAGAATAGCCAACAGTTCTTCCTGTTCGCGTCGTTTGGCCACCTCTTGAGCCTTCAGTTCGTTGATTTGACTCTGGAATCGCTGTTTGAGTGCCATATTTTCGATGTTATCCATTTCCATCTGTTGGTTCAGTCGCTGCGACTGCAAACTAGTGATTTCGTCTTCAATTTCGCGTAACTTTTCCATCAGATGATCATTTTCGGCACCTCTTTCCAGTGCACTGGTAGCGGCTGTGTCTTCGGCGGCCAGCGACTCGCCCATAGCGCCCATACCTTCGACAGCACTGGTCGATTCGGACTCCATATCGTAGCCATAGTTGTTGTTATTATTGGTCGCCGCCGAAGTGGACGCACCGCCAGCGGACGGCATATCCGATAGCATTCCTTTAGAAAATTCGGTAACATATTTATCCGGTGAACTCTTATCCTTAAATATCGAGTCTCGGTTATTGCTGGTCGACATGCGGCTATCGTCACCCGAATCGGGACGTCCACCTCCACGGGTGTCATCTTCATCGCTCGAACTGACCACATCGCCAAACAGATCGTGTTCGCCGACATCAAAACCGGGACCACTGTTGCCGCCCATTGCGGTGGACGGAGACAACGGACCGCTAGCTTTCTGGTCTCCTTTGAGTTCATCCTCGGCGTTGACCACTTCATAGCGTACATGTTTGGCTTCGTTGTCCGTACGAAACAAACGTTTTACCTCTTTTTCAATCTCCGGAAAGTCCACATACTTTTTCTTCAGTGTCTTTCGAAAGCGTTTTTTTCTGACATTTTTCAACGGCGGAGTCACGCCGTGCGGAAACAAATGTTTCTTGTCTTTGCCGTCCTTTGACTTACGATTGACAGTGTCGTCCGGTTCGGCAGCACCCGACTGACCGCCGGCACCGGTCGGATCGTCCATCTCTTCCTTGCAGATCATCATTTGGCAAATGTCGGCCGTTTTGTAGAAGTTTTTGTTGTCCAATGTTTTGTGCGATTCGATAATTGTCGGTAAATCGACAATCTTTGCCGGCAATATCCAGCCATCAAATCGGACAGTACCGCGTCGGATGTCGGGTTCAATCTGGACGGTCAGCCGTTCCTTGAGATTCATAACACCTGATGGCCGACGTCGGGTTGGATCGGATCGGGTCAGACAAAAGAGACAATATGTTATTGACCAGAAACAGCTCAACAGATCACCGATTGGCTTACCTGACCGTACGGCTGCCCGAAGACTGGCCGCTGCCAGTGATGGCAACCGAAGTACAAACTGTGACTCCAATTCGCACGGACCGTCGTTCGCGGTCATAGTTTCCGATTTGTTGTTGTCTTCAAACGGCATTATGATTACCGCAATCAATGTGTTTGTTGTTGTTGTTTGGCCACCAATTTGATTGATTAATCGATAGATAGATTTGTCCGATCGTTGGGTTAACCAATTGATCACCGAATAAAATGCGGCGGTTTTTCGGGAGTCCACTAAACACTTGTTGACACAAAAACAATGTTTACAATTGAAAAACAGTTTTTTTTTTATTAATGCATTAATAATAATAATAACAATAATATAGAAAATACTATACATTAATAACGGCATTGAATTTGTTTGGTTTTAATAAAAACTTTTTTTTTAAATTATTTTTTTAAATACAATGTACTGTATTATATGATTAAGTTATATTAATTAATCAAATGATTAATAGAAATTAATTGAAAATAAAATAATATTTTTTTTTTAACAAACAAAAGTATAAAAATTTTTAATAAAATTATTTATACAATTATATTATTACAGTATATATATATATATATATACTTATATATAACTTATGATTATTTTTATATTTAAAATAAAAACACTTTTTATAATTATCACTCAATTGACTATGAATTATACTGTGTATAAAAAAAATTAAATGTTATTTTTTTTTTTGTATAAAAATTGTCTATAAATTATTTATATAATTATCTTGTAATTAATTAATTAATGAAATATTGTGATTTAAATTATTAAATATTTAATATATTCACCAAATCATCAAATAAGTTCTATATTGATATTAAATAATATAACATTTATAATTAGTAAATATGTAAATTATATAAATACATTATATATATATATATATATATATATATATATATATCTTAATTTTAAATTGTTAACAAAAATTATTTTTTTTAAATAAATAAATTATCATACATTATATGATGTTTATTAATCCTAAATATAGTATTTTAGTATTAGTAAAAGTAATTTAATCTATTTATATATATATATATATAAAACTGTAATAAAATAATTAATAATTATTATAGTTATTTAAATGCAATTCTATACATAACATTTAGTGGCATTTAGATCAACTGAATTTTTAATTTACAAGTAATTAAATTTTTAGCATATATTTAACAAATAAATAATTTATTTTTAAATAATAGTATTTAGGGTTCAATAGGTTACTATGTATTAGTTTATATTTAATTTTATAGTTATAATTATTTTTATTTAATAATTATAAATCAATTGACTATGAATATAATGTATATATATAAATTAATTTTATAAAAAAATAGTCTATAAATTAATGTCTTGTAATTAATTCATTTTAATATTTAAAAAATAGTCTGAAAATATAAAGAAAATTATTGATTTTTTTTATAAAAATTTATAATTTGTTATTACTATTTTTTATCTATTTATTTTATTTAACGATAATTTAATGAGTATTTAATATTTTTTTTTAAAACTAAACAGTTATAACTTATAACATATATAAATATAAATTTTATATCATATAATAAAATTTATAAGAAATAATAATAATTAATTGATTAATTAATGAGATTTTTTGTAAAAGCAAACAAAAGTATATAGAAATGTGATTTAAATTATCAAATATTTTTTTAACAAAAATTATTTAGATATATTTATAAATTACATTATATATTAATATAAATTATAGGTGTATATTAATCCTAATAGTTATTTATTTATTTTTTAAAAACTATAATAAAATTATTAATACTTATTAGAATTAGTTTAAAAAGTTTAACAAATTTATCATATAATTAATTAATTTTTAAATAATAATATTAATAATAAATATCATATTTTAAAATATTGTTTTACACACATACAGTATTATTATTATTATTTTCTACAACAACATTACTTATATACTATATTTAAATTAATTATATAAATATATATTAATAATTAAATAAGTTTAATAATTTCCGTCAAAAAAGATAACAAAAATGTTTTTAACTAAAAGATAAATCTGTTTTAATATTTGTATATATAATCTCTATATACACACAGTACTACACATTGTACTGATGATAGGATCGGTACGATTGGATAGGACTGGATGTCAGTGTGTGTGTGTGTGAGCCCATCCTCTCTATGTTCTGAGATGTGCTTTAATTTGTCTCCGGGATCATCAAGTGATGGTCAGGCAGTCTGGTATATATATAGTGTGTATAAGAGTACAGTAATGTATAGATAGTATGGATCGCGTATCAAATATACTCTATGAGTGTCACCACTCTAAACGCATGTACCGACAAAACCAACCATACAATCGTTATATACCTATGATTGCCATACWGTGTGTGTGTGTGTGTGTGTGTGTGTGTGTGTGTGTGTGTGTGTGTGTGTGTGTGTGTGTGTGTGTGTCAAGAGTACCGCCAGTGTGTGTGTGTGTGTGAGAGAGAGAGAGAGAGAGAGAGAGAGAGAGAGAGAGAGAGCAAATAAAAGTGACAAAAATGCTTAAGAAGTGAACAACTTGTGTGTGAACAACACAATCACATAATACTCTGGTAGTCAGTACTCAACCGCAGCGCCTATTTATCTGACAGTCAGTCCCTCTCTTTCTAAATGGTAGTCACTCTCCTGAAAGAGCACTTCAATCTAAATATATAAATATATATATATATATTGTTTGCCTACAGAATCTCTCATTGATTCCTTTAACCTAACAGTCCAATAGTCCAGTCCAGTCCCTATATATGAGAGCTCAGGCCTTTAAAATCTTGACTGATTTATACGGTTGTTGACCACACACTCTATATATACATATATTATAATTTGTTACACTTAACCAACAAAAAAACTATTGAAAACTATTGAAAAAGTGTTAATAATAAATATATAACTTTTTTCTATGTGTGTGTGAAAAACTATAGTAAAAGTAGATAACAAATGTGTTAAATGTGTGCCAAATATAGTATCTAAATGTATAGTCGATGTTATGAACAGTTGTCGTCTTCATCTTCGGTTTATTCTTCTTCTTCTGCTTCCGGTTGTGCTATGAATGTGCTGTCCGTAATGAAAATGTTGGCCAACAATACTTCCTCCAATGCAGCCGCCGATGATGACAACGATTCACCAATCAGTTTGTCTCAGTCTAGGTCTGTCTCAGCAGCAAAAGATGCCGCAAACAAAACGAACAGTAGTTTTGGTTTTTCGGTTAAAGATATCTTAGATTTGCCGACAAATAATACTAATAATAATAAGACAAAAACATGTAAATTGGACACCAATTACAGTGCCAGTGCCGCCAACAGCAACAACATTATCACTAGTTCTGCGGTGTCGTCTTCGGCCGCCATCGATAGCAACAACTGTCTGACTACGACAACGACGCCGACAGCCAACATATCAACAACAACAACGACAATACCCGCCATCGCCAGCGGCTTTCATCATCCACTCTATGCTTATAATACCAGTAGTCTATGTGATAATCCATACGCTCAATGTCTACTACCATCATATGATCATCTATTATATTATCCATCGACACAACGTTAGTGTTATTATAAGTTTAAATAACAAAAAATTATTTAACTTTTATACATAAAAAAAACTTCTATATATCCTATATCTACATATTGTTGTATAACTGTATTAAACTTATTATTTCTTCAAAAAACAAATTTTTTAGTTAACCGTAACTCGTGTCCAACCACTGCCTACTCGGCGGCCGCCAACCCATTGATGTCGTGCCGATTACCGGCAAACGATTATCATCTGTTTGGCGCCTCATTGCAACAACAGGTATCAACTTCGGCATTCATATCGTCGTTGACCAGCAATCTGATGGCATCGGGACACAAACGCAAGCGCCGACACCGGACTATATTTACGGAACAACAGTTACAGCAATTGGAAACAGCCTTTCATAAGACACACTATCCGGATGTACTGCTCAGAGAGGAACTGGCGATCGGTGTCGATCTCAAAGAGGAAAGGGTCGAAGTAAGCAATTTGTTTGTTTGTTTGTAAAATTAGATTTCTTTTATATGACATTTATATTAAAAATAATTTCTATTATCGTTTATTTTTTAATTTTATATAATTTTTGATATTTTTTATCACAAAAATTATAGCATAAAGTAGTTATTTCAATACTAACTATAAAATCTATAGAAATTGTATCTAAAAAAATCATATATTATTAAAAACATATTATACATAATATATCTCACTATAAATCACATTGATTTACAATCAATATCTTACTATAAGTAAATCAATGATATATTCAATGATATGGTTTTTTTCTGGAGACTAACATTTTTTGGGATCAATTTTATCATTTTCATACATCTATACTCTAATAATAATAATAATAATAATAATAATTTCTGTCACAAACATAATCAAACACTTGAATACAACTAACTAACTATATATATATATATATACCATTTAATATGTTATATCGTATGTCAATAATATAATATAATAATAATAATACTGTATAATGGATGTGACAATAATATAATAATAGGGACCCATTGTATTGTGTTGTTAAACACACTACTACTGTACCGGTATTATAGATCATATAAGTATTGAGAGGACTGGAGGACATACAGTACTACTACTACCAGTTAGTCAATTGATTGCAAACGGCAAACCTATAAGTGCTCTCAAAAATTAAATCACCAAATGCTTGAAAATTGATTGAATTTGCCGATGATTTTTAATGATAATACTGTAATAGCAATAATATAAAATAATAATAGCATCAAATTATTTTGACGATTAGGAGCACTATATATATATATTTGATATGATATATATTATATAATATAAACTATAGAATCTAAGACTATAATATAATATATATTTCACACTTTATATATATATATAAATATTTTAATTTATATGTTAAGTACAATTATTATTATTATATAAATGTATTAAATATATATATATATAATTATAGGTTTGGTTTAAAAATCGACGGGCAAAGTGGCGGAAACAGCAAAGGGAACACTCGGACAGTCAACAACAACAACAACAACAACAATGAAAGTACCGGTGCTCTCAATACATATGGGTAGACATACCGGGGGTACACATATTTGTATTATATATATATATTGGTTGATATTAATTACCGTATTATTATAATTAATAATAATAATAATAATTTAGATTACAATTGTTTTGTATTAAATGTAACTTATTTAATAGTATTCCCAATTTTCATCAGTTAATCTATCAATTTTCAATTGTAATTTACATCAAAAAAATATATATTGTTGTATATTATTGATAATTAGTTAAATTTTTATGTTGAAATTATTTGCTATTATATTTATAGCAATTTGTATAATATATTCAATTATTATTATTAAATTAAATTTTTTGTTATTATTTATCTACTGTATATCAGTATACTGTATATTAATTATTGTATGTACTTATTATTGATAATTAATTTATTGAAATACACATACGTATTACAACAACAAAAAGTTATTGTAAACAATTTTTTTCAACAAAATAAAACCAAAAATTATTGTGAAATACAGTATTTAACTAAAAATTACATCGATTTTTTCCCATTGAATTATAAATATATGATAAATAAAAAACTTATGAGATTTGCTGCTCCTAATAATAATAAGTACTACTATTAATAATCTCTAACTAATAATATACCATATATTTTATATACTGTATATATATATATATATGGTATAACTTAATATGATATATAAAAAGTTTGAATTGTTTTTTTTCTATGTGTGTATATATACAGTACTATTCAACAGTTAATTTTGTTTTGAAACCCAATTATATTTATGTCTAAGGCTTCCAACTTTTTGTATGACTAATACCCAAAATCTGTAGAAACCATACAATTGGTTATATTATTCATTATTATTATTATTATTATATAAAGCAATTCTCTCTCTCTCTCTCTCTCTCTCTCTCTCTCTCTCTCTCTCTCTCTCTCTCTCTCTCTCTCTGTGTGTGTCTACACTATAAATTATATTAAATTAAAATTAATTTACTTATTTATATAATTATATTGTAATACTCATATCAATATATATATACGGTATAGTTATTTCTAAAATTATATTATTAGATAAATTTATTATAAAATAATTATTTTTTATTAGCATCTTATATATGCTACCAAAAAAAAGTCGGAAATTATTGGTTAGCATATATAATATAAATTTATATATTTAAAAATAGTTTAGTACTACTACTAATAATAGTATTCAGTTGATAGGCTCTTAGCTTTTTTTTTTGCTCATTTTGTTAGCTATTGATACAAAAAAAAATTCTGAATACAGAGAGAGAGAGAGAGAGAGAGAGAGAGAGAGAGAGAGAGAGAGAGAGAGAGAGAGAGAGAGAGAGAGAGARAGAGAGAGAGAAATACAACAAATCTTTAAAAGTTTATAAATCAAATCAATTGATTCATTCAATGATTATTTTCTGGTCCTAATGTTTGGTAATGTAAATGTGCAGATGTTTTAGTGGTGGTAGTGGTGTTGTTCCTCACATACATACACATTGAAAAATACTTCATCAACTGATCTCTTAGGAAGCCCTCAAACATCGAGCCCACCATTGAATGTCCTTTTTCCGATCTCTCTCTCTCTCTCTCTCTCTCTCTCTCTCTCTCTCTCTCTCTCTTATTATTCACTCACTTTCACGGCTATTGTTGAGCACTTTATTATAATAATTTGTCCGCTTTTTTTATATTTATAATAAATAATACCAAAGCATTTGGTGTACATTTCATGGCATGTATTTAAACTGTGTGTGTATTGGCATATAATATACTATACAAGGTTTAATATATATTGATTTTTAATCTCAAACGTGAATCTCAAATCTCAATCCCAGAATATCGGTGTGTAATATATAATATATAAGCGATGAAAAACTATCGGCGAGTTTAAGGATTTGCTTATTATAAGTTATATACGGTTTATATGGCAATAGTTTTATACTCAGTTTTAAGGTTTTTGGGGGATTAGTATTAGGAATTAGACTAAGAATTAGTGTGTGTGTGTGTGTGTGTGTGTGTGTGTGTGTGTGTGTGTGTGTGTGTGTGTGTGTGTGTGTGAGTGAGTGAGTGAGTGAGAGAGAGAGAGAGAGAGAGAGAGAGAGAGAGAGTATGTGTTTATAGTATAAACTTTATGCGATATGGCATACAATTAATGCTATCAATACCGATACCACTAATACGTGTGTGTGTGTGTGTGTGTGTGTGTGTGTGTGTGTGTGTGTGTGTGTGTGTGTGTGTGTGTGTGTGTACCGTATAATTCACAAACCGATTTCAATACACCAACCGTATTGATAGGCGTAACCTAAAGGCATAGATTTAGGTATTGATATTATACAGTACTATACGGTATACTAAACTATAGCACAGGACATATATATATAACATTAGCCGTGTATTTGAGTCTCTCTCTCTCTCTCTCTCTCTCTCTCTCTCTCTCTCTCTCTCTCTCTCAMTACTATACTATAGCTGGGAATCGGATTTAATTGAAAATCTAGTCAATCCTGTATAGCGTTTAATATGTTTCCAACATTTATCGTATTATTATTATTATATTTGTGAACAAAAAAAAAAAGATTGTATGTATGTTATAAAGCTTTTGACATAAACCCACTGCGGTTGGGCACCGGTAGGCCACACACACATACTGCTCCCTAGTCTTACACTGGGTATTAGACACACACACAGCAGTTTGTGTGATCTAAATACTTGGGAGGTATCCATATAAAGGAGTTAATCGGCCGGAAAATATGTTTACAACCAAACAATCCACAGCTCTTTAGTATATAAATATAATAATAATAATAATATATCAATACTTTTCAGTGGCTTTTTGTCAATTTTATTATTTATTTACTAAACTATCGGTGTGTATGTGTATGTATGTATGTGTGTGTGTGTGTGTCCCCACCCGTGTGGTATCACTTTATGTGGTAAACTAATTATTTGTAATATATTTGTTGACAAATATTTCAAATATGCTAATAATTTCTAATGATTTACTGGTATATATAGCCTAACATATTGATCACAAAATTTTTTTTATTATTAGATAATTGTTGTCAAACATTGACAATATTATAGATAATATATTATTAATATATAAATATAAGTATTTGATAAATATTAGCGTTTATATATATTATTTATTAGTTATACTGGTATAATTTACTAATATATTACAATCGTGTAATTTACATGTATAGATATTTTTAAAAAAAACAATTATTTCTAAAAACAAAATTATAGTTTAATTTATCAACAAAAACATTATTCAATACTATTAAATCATATAATAACTTATAATACAGAGTCTAATCTAAAAATATAATCCGTTTTTTTTTGTTGTTGAATCAGTTATCACTAATAAATAATATTATATCAAACAAAAAATAAAAGACATAATCTTTTAGAAAACATTTTATTTGTGTATTTATAGTTATATTATGAAAAATCTATTAAATATAAATATATTAAATAATAAAAATAAATTAAAAAAWATATATATTAAWTATATAATACTAGAATAAATTAGATATTATTATTATAAGTTTTTTTTTCAGGTTAGCTTTGAATGACTGGGCGGTGCAATCTTTCGGTGAACAAACTTCAGTATATAAAGTGGTAGACACGACACTACAGTCAATAGACTGACTTTCCATAGAAAACTACCGGTTTGTATGAATTTTTCATCGAAATATTGCGGTGCGACTATCAATGTTAGCAAATAGGTTGATAATGAGATGAGTTCGGCCACAATCATTAGCCAATGCCAGGTACGGACAATCAGGGCCAACATCAGCAGTTCGGTTAGGATGAGTGCCGTGAAYGTAATGGCCACTACATGAATGAATTCATCGTTGAACAGTAGCATTGCACCGTACATAATGACACCGGCCTGATAGACACTGATCAGTACCCATATGAAGAATGTCTTATAGCTKAGGGAACGGCCTTTCATTAGTTTGTATAGTTCGGATAGCGTATGACCAGCCGAGGTGAGACATCTTTGTCGATGACTATACTGAATACGGGAAACATTGTATAGACAGTTGCGTAGCCGATCATCAGAAAACCCTGGTATAGGCTGACGGATACAAAGAAAAATACTGATGAAAATATGGCCTGAAGTATGGTTATGATGAGTCCCCGGTGTATAATAAACTGACTCAAAGTAGCCGATCGTTTATAACTGTAGCGGCCGTGCAATAGTATCAAGCGATAGATATGACTGAATTGAAGTATTGAAAAATCGGCGGCCAGTGATGCCTGTTGTCCTTCTTTGCCGACAATACCTACACCAACATCGGCCGTCTGTATCATTGATACATCATTGCCACCGTCACCAATAGCACAGGTACGTTTACCGGTACGATCCTGGATCAGTTTGACTACTTCGGCTTTCTGTGTTGGCGAACATCGACAGCAAACAACTGCCGGACACTGGCAGGCAATCTCAAAGAACTCGGATGAATAGAATCGCATACAATGTTCGAGATCTTCGCCCCGAATAATCAATGGCCGATCACTTTTCCGAAGGAAATTGTTTAGTTCGAGATGTGTTTCGGTTCGGGAACCGACCGAACGAAATACATAGAATTCTTGTGTCTTTTTGACCAACTGTGACGACTTGGCTATACTGATGGCTGTTTCCAGTTTATCGCCGGTCAACATCCAGAGCTTAATCCCGGCGTCGTGCAGTCCTTTCAGTGTTGTGGCCACACCTTCCTGTAGACGATCCTCAACTCCTGTGTAGAAAAATAATAAATAATTAAAGATATCACCCAAAAAACCCAATTATCTTCACATACCGGTTAGACAAAGCAGTTCCATGTCTTTCTCCAGAGTGGCCAATGCGGCCATTATTTTATCGTTTCGGTTTTCCATTGAACACTTTGCCTGTTCATATCGTATGTCAAACTCTGCATACTGTTCCTCACTGAGTATCTTCTTTGCCACCACTAAAGTCCGGAGTCCATTGCGTGCCATAGTATCGCACTGTTCCTGAAGCCAATCACTATAGACAATGATTGTTGTCATAACAGTGTCGGCACCTTTCAGTAGAAACATTATCTCCCGATTGGACTGATCTCTCAAAATAATTCCCATTCGTTTAGTGTCCGAACTGAACGGAAATAATTTCAATATATCGTAATTCATTAGATTTCCGACGGGATTCAAYAGTTTCATAGTCGACAGGTCACGATATACCAGTGCCAGACCCATCTTTTCCGTCCACTGTACCAGTGCTACCTCATCGGGACTGGAGGCCTGGTAGGTGATTGTCGACTTTTCCATCAACGGTATGGACACACAATCTAATTAATAAATAATAATAAATCAATCAATCAATAGTATCGCTAACTAAAAAATTTTTTAAAAAAAATAATAATAATAATTACCATTCATTACAAATGAATTGTTATTCACTGACATCTCATTGATATCCAAAGTGGATGTCGAGTAGGGATTGGATCCCGTTTCGTAGGATGGCGTTACATTATGGCACAGGGCAATGGCCAGTACTGCCTGATGACACCGATAAAGACTGTCCCGGTCCACTTCAACGGACGAATCATTTCGGCTATATTGTGACTGATAGTATTGTCGCGGATCCAATCGAAAACTGATAACACTGGCCGTCGAAGTGTCTCGTCTATGACCTGGCTGATAGCTACCTGTGCTGGCGGCCATCATCATCGGTTGTTGTATGGTATAGTAGGTACGTAACTGGTTGGCCACTTCGTCAAAATAATCGGTACCGTACGATATTTTGCCCATATGTATCATTTTGAATACCATTTCGTTGCGGGTCAATGTACCCGTTTTATCGGTTAGCAAATAGGCTATTCGACCTAAATCTTCGGGCATAGTTGTATTCCGTACTACTGTTCCCGGTATATCCATATCCCTCGATATCATAAACGAATAGACTACTCGTCCAATTTCCAGATTAACTCTCATACTCATAGGTATAATATAGGAAAATAATAGCAAAAATCGGACCCAATATCTATACCAGGGTCCATGAAAACCTGTTTTTAAAAAAAATTATGATTATTGATTATAATTAGGTTTTTTAAAAATATTTAAAAATTTAAATTTTAAACCTTTAAGGCCTATCATAACCAATGCCATTACAGCCTGTACTCCAAACAGTACTTTAGTTAATGAATTAACTTCAATGTCTAGTAAACCGACTTTACTTCGGGGCTCATTGTTGTTCATCATTGATCGGGTCTCGGGTCCCGTATATATAACAATACCGATTGCAGTACCCGATGCTACCACTGTATTGGCCCACAATGTGTTTTCAATGTTCAACGAAATCTCTTTATTATTGTCTATTAAACAATATGTGGAAAATATATTATTAATAAAGAAAAAATAAAATAAAATCAATTTATTTTCAAATAAAAAAACAAAAACAATACCCGAATCTATAGTAACTTTTCCGATAAAACCATGAATATCACGTTTGGGTTCTTCGGCATCGACATAGGCATCCAAATTGGACAGACAGTCATCGGATTCCAGTTCCTGAGTGGCCGTTACGGCCAATCGAAGCTTCCAATCGGTTTCGCCATCCAATTGATCGGTTCGTACAAAACAGGCACCGTTTTTCTCGCTGGTCCTCAAGAAAACCATATCTGCCGGTACTCTCTGATCTCGAGTGACAACTATCAGATCGCCGACTTTTATTTGCGAACTTTTTACGGTAACCAAACCCTCAGGAGTTAGCTTCTGATACGGTTGACTGTTGACAGCGTTGTCGCGCCGGTAGCGCATAATATCGTCCACTGCTTCCCGAATCAATGCTATGGTTAGTACAAAGCCCAGTGGTGTCCAATAGGTATAGATATAGCCTACTTGTAGTGATGGTATAAACTGGGAGCAGGCCTGCAGTAGAAAGTATAGATTCAAGAAAAACTTGAACTGATTGAACAAAACGATTGGTAGAAATGTTAGTAAATTGTATTTAGTATTTCGGACAATATTTGCGGGAAATGTTTGCTGTTTTGAACCGTCGATGAACAGCATATCCGAACTCCTGATGTAAACGGTTCGCGGTTTTAACGGCTTTTTGCCAAACAGTCGGTCAATTATTGCCCACATGACTGACTACTACTACTACTATCACTACTACACCTATAAATTATTATAATATATGGGGCTATGAATTGTTTGATTGATTCACACAAAACACATAACAATTAATTGATTTTATTTTATTATAAGTAGTTCTTTGTCTTCTTATTCTTCTTGGACACAACAGTAGGTCATTCGTTCAGAAACGACAAAAAAAATAAATAACTATCAGTTGTTATCACTTTGTTGTTTGGGTTTGTCATTGTTTTAATTATATTATTATTATAATACTAAATGTTATGCAATTAGTTATGGCGTTAATATATATATAAGTATTTATTAGTAGGTATTATCACTATATATATAAAAAATACCTAAACTATGGTAACAAAGATAATATATATAATGACTTATATACGTATATTACAGGTATTTAATGCAATCATAGTTACTATTATTTATTTATTAGTTATCAATGAATTACYRTATATTATATTTGTTAAAAAACTAATTTTTATTTACAATATAAACTTCAATCTTAATTATAAAGATTTTCACTTAAAAAAATATATATAYTATCATTTAATTACATTTTAAAACATTACATAATAAATCACATTAATATTTATTAATAATAATAATAACAATACTACTAATTATAAAAATACTTGTAAATAATATAAATAAATAAATAATTTAATATAAGTATATTTTACACTGAATAAATCTGAAAAAAGCATTAATTTTTATTATATTATTAATTATATTTTTTTTTTTCATTGTCAACATGTGTTTTTTCCAAATGTAAAAATGTTTTATTTTTCTACAAATATTTTATTTTGTGTCAACTCATTTTAAATATTTGAAATTTTGATAAATTGTTTGACATATTATAATATAATAATAATAATAATATACAAAAACATTAGTCGCATAAATCATAAATCTTGACTTTTTTTTTTATATATATATATATATTTGATAACAATACACAAGTAATTTACAGTATATTAATACTTGTATTTAATAAAAAAAAAATTATTTATTAAATAAATATTTGATATTTAGTTTTTTTTTAAATTTATTTTTAAAAAAGGATATTAATAATAAAACTATACTTGGTACAATTATATGCAGTTATCATCAATTTTGAATAATAAATATAATAATATACTGGAATTTTTTTTTAAAATATTTTTCTAAAAAAATTAAATATAATAAAAATTTTCATTTTATTGATAATATTAATATTTTCCGATTTATTGAAAAAAATAATTATTTGTATATCAAGATAACACTTTAAGATAATAGTTCTGTCTGTATGTGTGCACATTTCATCAACAACCATATTTTAATTCAAATCTAAAAATGTATTGTTATATTTTCAATTATTATTCAAAGCAATGTTATTTCTATAAGAAATTTTAAATGATTATCGAAGTCAGGTAGGCAGGTATTGTGGAATTACATTTGGCTATATTATATGAGTCACAGAGCACCGGGAGGTTAGCTATCTGTGCTAAATTTTTGTAAAATTTTCTCAAATGCAAAAATTTTAAATTTGTATTAAATTTTTTAATTTTTATTCAAAGCAATGTTATTTTTTGGGGAAATTTTAAATGTTTAATGAGCTCAGGTAGGTTTTAGGGACAGGTAGATAGATGTTGTTACTCAATTTTGCTATATTGTACCAGTCACAGGGCACCGGGAGGTTAGCTACCAGTTATTTTTTGTAAATTTTTTTCAAATGCAAATTTTTTTTCGCAAAAATGATTAAATTTTTATTTTTATTAAAATTATTTAAATATATATAAAAAAACTAAAATTTCTCAAAAGTTTAGACGAAATAATGTGTATTGGTACTGAATTTTTATTACGTTTTATGTATATTGATTAATATTTTGATGTATAAAACATATTAGGCAGCCATTCTAATTACTAATGATGAATATTATAAATCAATAAAAGAATTGCACAGCTATACATTTTGCGCGGGACATTCTAGTTATATAAAATAACTTATTTTGATAATCAAACAAAAAATAACAGTTAATTGAAAGAGAGAGTCTTAAACAGCGGCGGTGATGCTATTAATTACCAATTATATGGTCTCAACAATACATTGAATTAAAAAAAATGACCAAGGACATTATATTGTAGATAATTTTATACTGGATAAAAATTTAATTGGTTATTTATTAAATTAATTGTATCATTTAACAGATAATTGCAGTCGACTATCATTTAAAATTTATCAACAATAATAATGCCTTGGTCATTTTTTAGTTATTGTTAACCATATAATTGGAATTAATAGCATTCCCACCGCTGTTTAGATTCTCTCGTTTATTGTATTATTATTATTATTATATATATATTTATTTAATAATGTCTTAACTTTTAAAAAATCAAATAATTTTTATTTTCGTAATATATAGTCCGCATAATTTTCATTCAAATATACCATACAAATAAATCATTGCATCTGTGTATCTTTTAAGATCTAAATTATGAGATTTTTTTAAGAATGCAATTTTTAAATCAAGAATATGAAAATTTTAAATTAAAATGTATTTTTAGATTTGATGTTTTTGAAGAATACAATTTTTAAATCAAGAATATGAAAATTTTTAATTAAAATGTATTTTTAGATTTGATGTTTTTGAAGAATACAATTTTTAAATCAAGAATATGAAAATTTTTAATTAAAATGTATTTTTAGATTTGATGTTTTTCAAGAATGCAATTTTTAAATCAAGAATATGAAAATTTTTAATTAAAATGTATTTTTAGATTTGATGTTTTCAAGAATACAATTTTTAAATCAAGAATATGAAAATTTTTAATTAAAATGTATTTTTAGATTTGATGTTTTTCAAGAATGCAATTTTTAAATCAAGAATATGAAAATTTTTAATTAAAATGTATTTTTAGATTTGATGTTTTTCAAGAATGCAATTTTAAAATCAAGAATATGAAAATTTTTAATTAAAATGTATTTTTAGATTTGATGTTTTTCAAGAATGCAATTTTTAAATCAAGAATATGAAAATTTTTAATTAAAATGTATTTTTAGATTTGATGTTTTTCAAGAATGCAATTTTTAAATCAAGAATATGAAAATTTTTAATTAAAATGTATTTTTAGATTTGATGTTTTTGAAGAATACAATTTTTAAATCAAGAATATGAAAATTTTTAATTAAAATGTATTTTTAGATTTGATGTTTTCAAGAATACAATTTTTAAATCAAGAATATGAAAATTTTTAATTAAAATGTATTTTTAGATTTGATGTTTTTCAAGAATGCAATTTTTAAATCAAGAATATGAAAATTTTTAATTAAAATGTATTTTTAGATTTGATGTTTTTCAAGAATACAATTTTTAAATCAAGAATATGAAAATTTTAAATTAAAATGTATTTTTAGATTTGATGTTTTTCAAGAATGCAATTTTTAAATCAAGAATATGAAAATTTTTAATTAAAATGTATTTTTAGATTTGATGTTTTTCAAGAATACAATTTTTAAATCAAGAATATGAAAATTTTTAATTAAAATGTATTTTTAGATTTGATGTTTTTCAAGAATGCAATTTTTAAATCAAGAATATGAAAATTTTTAATTAAAATGTATTTTTAGATTTGATGTTTTTGAAGAATACAATTTTTAAATCAAGAATATGAAAATTTTTAATTAAAATGTATTTTTAGATTTGATGTTTTTGAAGAATACAATTTTTAAATCAAGAATATGAAAATTTTTAATTAAAATGTATTTTTAGATTTGATGTTTTCAAGAATACAATTTTTAAATCAAGAATATGAAAATTTTTAATTAAAATGTATTTTTAGATTTGATGTTTTTCAAGAATGCAATTTTTAAATCAAGAATATGAAAATTTTTAATTAAAATGTATTTTTAGATTTGATGTTTTTCAAGAATACAATTTTTAAATCAAGAATATGAAAATTTTAAATTAAAATGTATTTTTAGATTTGATGTTTTTCAAGAATGCAATTTTTAAATCAAGAATATGAAAATTTTTAATTAAAATGTATTTTTAGATTTGATGTTTTTCAAGAATACAATTTTTAAATCAAGAATATGAAAATTTTTAATTAAAATGTATTTTTAGATTTGATGTTTTTCAAGAATGCAATTTTTAAATCAAGAATATGAAAATTTTTAATTAAAATGTATTTTTAGATTTGATATTTTTGAAGAATACAATTTTTAAATCAAGAATATGAAAATTTTTAATTAAAATGTATTTTTAGATTTGATGTTTTTCAAGAATGCAATTTTTAAATCAAGAATATGAAAATTTTTAATTAAAATGTATTTTTAGATTTGATGTTTTTGAAGAATACAATTTTTAAATCAAGAATATGAAAATTTTTAATTAAAATGTATTTTTAGATTTTATTTTTTTCAAGAATGCAATTTTTAAATCAAGAATATGAAAATTTTTAATTAAAATGTATTTTTAGATTTGATGTTTTTCAAGAATGCAATTTTTAAATCAAGAATATGAAAATTTTTAATTAAAATGTATTTTTAGATTTGATGTTTTTGAAGAATACAATTTTTAAATCAAGAATATGAAAATTTTGAATTAAAATTTTATTTTTACATTTGGTATATGATATGAATCTAAGATACCTCAACAACCATTTTATAATTTTAATTAAAACATTATTTTTACATTTCGTATATGATATGAATCCAAGATACCTCAACAACCATTTTATAATTTTAATTAAAACATTATTTTTACATTTCGTATATGATATGAATCCAAGATACCTCAACAACCATTTTATAATTTTAATTAAAACATTATTTTTACATTTGGTATATGATATGAATCCAAGATACCTCAACAACCATTTTATAATTTTAATTAAAACATTATTTTTACATTTGGTATATGATATGAATCCAAGATACCTCAACAACCATTTTATAATTTTAATTAAAACATTATTTTTACATTTGGTATATGATATGAATCCAAGATACCTCAACAACCATTTTATAATTTTAATTAAAACATTATTTTTACATTTGGTATATGATATGAATCCAAGATACATCAACAACCATTTTATAATTTTAATTAAAACATTATTTTTACATTTGGTATATGATATGAATCCAAGATACATCAACAACCATTTTATAATTTTAATTAAAACATTATTTTTACATTTGGT